TGTGTGTGTGTGTGTGTGTCAGACCTTAAAAACATTTGAAGACTTTCGCAAGGGCCCAGGACCATCCGTTGCTCGGATGTCCTAATTGGGCCAAACAGGAGGTACCTGGACCCTATATATGGGTAAGCTTAGTTTCAAGTGAATCCACGCAAGAGGATGCCCAAGAATTGCATATACCCTGTTTTCGATGAGCCAACGGATGGACGAGCGACTTCAAAAGATGTGTCGGACGACTTCCGGCCGGAAGTCCTTCTGGCCGCTCAGTGCAGACTGATGAAAAGAATCAGAGAGTGCCGTTCACTGACACCTGTCGGACGGTTCACTCGCTTCACGGCAGAAAAAAGCCGCCCGCACGCCCAGCGAGACGCGAGACATCTCGAGACCGCCCGCACTCGCGCAGGTCAAACGCGGCCTCGTCGAAAGGCTCGTTCAGGCACAGCTTGGGGGATGGTGACGAGGGTGGGCACGGAGCAGCGCCCAAGCCCGAAAAAGGCGAGACGGGTTCAGAAGGGTGTGCTTCATGTGGTGACCGAGGAGCATGATCGAATCAGGCTTTCTCTGGGACATGGGCGTTTAAGCCTTTGAGACTCCCATCCTTGGCTGATCGGACATGTCTGCTCGGACATCGCTGGACATGTCTGCTCTGTGGTGCTGATCCTTGGATGAGCAATAGTCTCACTGCGTCCTGTGGGCAGCCCACATCGACTGATGTGCAAAAGCTGCTCAACAGCTCTGTGGGTGATGCCCCTGGCGCCCGAGTCGACCATTTGCATCCATTTAGCTGCGACTAGCGAACAACCGGTCCACCCGGGTAGGTCGTGCCCGGTCGGTCTCCTGGTTTGGACTCACAGCTCAATGTGTCACCTTCCTCAGGAACAATGTTCGCTACGAACGGGGCTCCTGGCCTTACTACGAACGGAGCGATCGGACGCTACTAAGTAGGGGCTCCTGGCGGTCTCGACCCACAGCATTCCACCACTCTGGGACATCTGCTCGAAGGTGGGAAACGAACACATCTAGACGACCTCTACTAGACGACAAAATACATCAAACTACTGCAAACCTACCTGAAGTCAACCGAAACACTTTAGACCAAGTTGGGGAACAGTTTGGTCCATACATCGATCATAGATCTGCAAAAAGGTCTAATTATGCTGAATACATCAATCGTTTGTGGTGTCCCCAAATTACCAATGTTCAACTATTTGCCTTGTATAGTAAACCACAATGAACCTGCAAGTAGATTGCAAGTCATAGTATGCAGCAAAAAGGGCCTGTGACTTACCAATGTAAAGCACCATGAAATTTGTTTGCTCAGCTCTGCCTGGAGGGAAGTCACCCCAAATACTCCTCTGGGCAGGCGGATGAGCCGTCCACCTGGTCCCAAACCCTCTGCAGCGAGCGTCGTTCTTCCCCCAAACCCAAAGCTCGCCATGCGACGACATGGCCGCTGAAAACTCCCTGCCTTGCCGAGTTGGTGGGAAATGATGGCGCGTCCGCTGAGAATCTTCAGATAGCCCAAATGGCGTTCCCGGATGTTTGGAAGATGTTACTCATTCAAGTCGCCCCTCCAAATTAAAGTAATATTACTGTCATGAGTGAAAGGATAGTCGAGAGCATCGAGCAGTACCTAGCTTGTTTGTGCCACAAGCTATGACCCGTGGTTTTACACTGCCGTTTTTGCTCGAACACACTGACCACACTGCTGGTTTAGTTGCCACTTACAGGGCACCAGCACAGGAAACAAGTAGCTAATTCGACATGATCTATCTTGGCAATGACCTTTCTTGGAACATGTCAACTCTTTCTGTGCTACTAGCTTCTTCAAGACTCGTTGGTCAAAACACATAGTATTGGAAACCTATGCCTATTCCATCATATTCCACTGTGGGATAAGTCTGATAATTCAGGGAGAAGCTCAAACCCATCATCCATACGCATGCTTTCTCACGGCGAAGACGACACATGGCCCCTTTCACCGGCAGCGCCTGCATCCAGCTTCACGATCTGTGGCTCGACGCCAGGATTCAGGATGGAGTCGGTCGTCTTCCGGAAGAAGACCACCTGGCTGGCTAGCGGAATGACTGCGAGGATGCCGTGGTCGGGCTGCACTTGGACATTGATGCCAAAAACATGCATTAACGGTCAAACGGGAGGAAATAAAGACCCAACACATCCCAAAACCAACCTTATTCCCAACACTGGATAGTTTATGGGAGGTGGAAATAGTGTTGTAAAAGAATCATCCAGGGCCCAGGGTTGTTTAATGTTGTTTACCTTTGCTTCCCTATAGAAAAACTTTGCTAAAGTTCTTCTGAGGCTTTGCTTGATTCCTGGAACTCTGACCTGAACACATCGAAACTTCAAAGCTTATCAGCTTATCATAGCTTATCCATAAGTTAAAGGGAGTGTATACTCGAGATTTCTCGAGTGGGAATAATGCCAACATGTGGAGCCCTGGAAGAACAAAAAAATCCCAGCTACGAGCTATGACTATAGGACGACTACTACTAGCACGACCACGACAACGAGGATACATGGTGGGCCTTGTCTCTGCTCACTCTCCATCACTTGTTTGCCAGGATGGGGGAGACTGTTTTTTCCATTTAAGATCCAACATGACTGCTTGCTTGGCGGTGGAAGAGCTCTGAGATCGGATCAAAGCCATCATGCCGAGCAGTCGATCGAACTCGAAGCATCGCCTCTCTTCGGTCCGAGTCCGTGGGGCGGCTGGGCGGCTGGCTGAGTCGAAGCCTTCCCCCATCGTGCAAAAAAGAAAAAAACGAAGTGGAGACACAACATGACACAACCCCCCCTTACCAAACAGGTCGAAACCATGTCGAACATCTTGGGCGAAGTGAAAAAGCATCGGTGATGCGACATGTTCGGGTCAAGCACTCAACAAAAGACTTGGCCCAACCTGTTTGCTAGTTGGACGGACCAATCTGTTTGAACACAGTTTTATTTGAACATCATAGACTCCGTGTCCTCACCATCCCGGATCCCGAAGTGATGACCCCCAAGACTCTGTGTGAATCCATTGCTCTGTCCGTCACGGGGAGACCGGCCCTGAGCTTACAGGGAGGTCATACGAGTCATACTCAGGTCATTAATGGTCATATCAGTCATTCTGCAGCGAAAATCCATCAATCACGGGTCTCGAGTGTACTGGAACATCATATTACCCAACCGCTCCATGTATGCCATATATGCCTACATTGACCCCTCAAACCACCCCAATGTAGGCATATATACCATACATGGAGCGTCTGGGTTAATTTGTCCTCACCTGAAAGGTGGAGTCATGGACCCCAAGTCAATTCAAGGCTGAATGACTCGAATGACGAGCCATGGGTAGAGTTCGCCATGGAAGTGGTGCCGGTCGCAAACAAGAACATCAAGAACCTCCAAATCCCGGTCGGATCCTCAAACTCGCCTCCAAACCGGGGCTTGGAGAACGTCCCCCCGCCCAACTCCCAGTCCCAGTCGGTCTTCTTCACCTCCGCGATGGAAAACCCCGCTTCGGTCCCGGTGTCCGAGCGCGGTGGGCGGAGGGGGGCGGAGGGGGGCGGAGGGCACCTCCTTGAACTCCAACTCCTCACCGGTGGACGCCAAGGCACCCCGGCCTAACCTCGGTGGCGGACGGACGGCCTGGCCACAGCGGTACGGGCGGTACGTCGGAAACGAGGCAAATGCGAGACAGACGATGCCAGATGTCTCAGGGATCTCTGGAAGTCCAAACACATCCTTAGACAAGAATAGAACATGGACTTGGTTTTGAAAACATTAAATTCTCACTCTAGAAAGAGACTATGTTCAATCATAGTCTATGTTTCAAGGGCCCGGGACATGGTTCCAACCGTTGCAGTACGTATTCATCAATAGTGGACATTGACATGTCGAGGTCTGCATCATAGTTATTTCGATGGTCACATGTACATGATGTATCATGACGTATGGACTGTGTTTCTCATCAGGATTTTTGGGCGCACACATTGAGTCCAAAGAGTCCAATCACCTGGGTGACTGTTCACCTGATATGGAATCAATGTGAGATTCATGGGGTTGAGATATGGTTGAGATTTAAGAACCATTGGAGGATACGAAACGAAGTCCTATTCTTAGTCCAGCCAGGCAACGCGCCAAAGAAGCCTTGCCCGGTGCTGTATACACGGCCCTCGCTGTCCAGGACCTTGAGAGTCCCGTTCGCAGGGTTCGCAGGGGTTGTTCAGGTGCATCCGAGCATGGGTTGCATCTGAAATGACATGACCACTACGTCCACTTTATATATCACTGTATCACCTTATATATACTGTATACCAATTTAACAACTAACTATACCTTTTAAACATGAAACACGCGGTGTGCCTGCTCTCCGCTCCGCCCTCCGCTCTCCAGCACCGAAAACAGGGGTGTCCGGGATGATTGGGGTGAAGCCTTCATCGACCTCACTGACCCACTTGCGACTCACTTTCAGGCGTGAATCGCCACCTCCCAGCCCAGAGTTTCAGGAAGATCTTTTCTCAACTGAACCCGGGATTCACGTGGATAAAAAGATCAGGGACAAATTCCCAGGAAGATCAAGCAACCCTTTGAGGTCTCGCTCTTGCGCAACATGTCGCGTTCGCAGGACTGTTGTGCATTGGGAATCTGGGAACATGTCCAAACTCTTCCGAATCTTCCCATCATCAATCAGATGCAATCGAACAATCTTCTCACTTTTGACGTTGTCCTTCATCTTTTGATGGGGCTTTGTCCATCCCCAGTGACCTTGTCCAGGTCAGAACCTGTTTTGGGTCATCACCCTTGGATCTTCCTGGGCCTTGTCAACCTCCCTGCTCCGACCGCTGCCGGTCATTGCCGGTCCCAGGCGCCAAGCTATGCATGTCGCCGCAGGTCACCTGCCACCGGTGGACCGGGCTGGTGCCGGATCTACTGGGACGGTCGCTAGTAACAAGAAGGGAGGTTGGTTTCCTGTCGGTATCCTTTAACCAACTAGGATCTTGGTTTCCTTTAACCAGAAGCTACTGGATCTACTGGGAACCAAGGGCATCACGAAGGGAGCTTCTGAAGCTCTGTTTAGGCACCGGAACTTCCCACTCCGGAGTGTTTTGAGATGTTTTGAGTGGGGTGTCTCCAATGCCCCCAAAAAAGGTTGAGCAGGTCATGAAACTGAACTTTTGGGAAATGAACGCCCAGGAGTTCAACCTGGCTGCGGAGATCTTTGAAAAGGGTGCCCCTTGGCCATTGGGCAAGTCTCAGTGGCCTCATGGACAGTTCGAACTCAACAACCCTTCGGCTCAGAACCCAAACCAGCCACCATTTGTACGATCTGCTGGACTCCAAGCCTGCAGAATTTCGGTGCCCTCTTGCACGAAGGGCATCACCATCCGTAGTTCCGGCACGGTGCCCCGTAGGTTCAAACCCAAAGCCCCAGCACCAAACCAGAAGCTGCCGCCATAGCCGCAGGTCCAAAGCACTCCGCCTACACATGATACCGGTTGGCTGCGATGCTCCATCCAGCCGTGAATGTGGAGGTGGAGGTCATGTTTAGCAGCCAGTCGAGGACAGTTTCAGTCGTCGGTCTTTATCGTGGTTGTTGTCAACGCAGCCCCTGCCCCACGGCAAAGCACCTAACCCAAGCAAGGCGATTCCAATCGGCCAGACTTTGGAAACATATTGCCCTACAAAAAAAGTTTGCCTTGCAAACTGAGACAACATACGTACAGATTCCTCGATGAACAAAGCTAAAACACCCAACATTCTTCTTCCATCCCAATTCATCTCTATAATTAGTGATATTTATTTCACCGACTGTTCATGTGCTCTATTACACAGGACTGAGCTGAGCATCTGAGAATTGAAATGTGGAGATTCTCATCTTCCATCAAAGCACAGGAAGCCACCGAGGCAAACTGCTTGGGACTGACGGTGATTGTGCTGGAATTGGGGGATACAATTCAAGAACTCGATCGACATGGAATCTCCAAGCACTCCCCAAACCACCTGTGTCGTTCGCCTGTTTGGTGAATTGCTGGATGATCTCCCAGCGAGGTCACATCCACATGGTCAGGTCCAGGGGTGCGAACCGGTCTGGTCAACAGTCCGTCTGTCCCTGCCACCGTCCGTACTTCCTGGCAATTTGGAGGTTTTGAGGAACTTGCCATGCCCCCATTGGCCCCAATCCTCAACTCCATGTCCAATTCCCCCGTCTCTATCCCCTCCTGAAGTCCCACTCGAAACACCAACCGGTATTTCGAACAGAAGGCGATCTTCCGCCCACGGGGTCATGAAACAATACAATTAATTCGATTTAAATACCATGGATATCATGAACGTTATTCAGAAGTCTCTCTTTGCTAGAGGGTCGCCAAGGCATACCAAGGCCAAGGCACCCTCATTCCATGCAACCCCCGCTTGGGCACCTTCGCTGATGACCGCTGTATGCCGCGCACCAAGCGCCACCTGCTGCGCCTGCGGCTGGTGGCCATCAGGCGCCACCAGTTTGGCCACGGCGCAATGGGCGTCGTTTTCGGAGGCGCGGCCCAGCTGGTGATCAGCGTTGGCGCCAAAGGTGTACCTGGTGGAAGTGATTTCAGGTGGGATTTAGTGTGTTTGTGTTTGAGCTTGAGACATATCATCCGCGACCAGAAATCACCAATGTTCGACTCCAAATCCATCGACAATGACCAGTATACCAGAATATCTTTAACTCCAAGGAGAAGTGGTCAGACTAAGGATTTCAGTTGCTTCATCATAGTTCCTCCACTGAACCCTTCCAAACGTTATGATGGGACAGACCCTCAAAAAGGCCAATGACACCATTGACCGTGTGTTTGCCTCGTTGCTCGACTTGGTTGGTGGAAGTACACCAGGCCCTGGCCAAGTTACAACTGGCCATCCACGACAAAGGCCGAGTGTTCCAAGCCGCAGGCGACCGCGCTGACGCCCTCACCCTCGGCCACTCGCTGCGGCGTTCTCTCCAACCCTTCGCCCAGGCCCCAGCGCCAAAGAGCGGTGCTGGCTGCACGGTGTCCCGCGGTGCGTCCCGCGGGCGGCACTCGACGGAGTGCGTGCCGCAGGTGGAGCATGGCGGACGGAAACCCAGGAAGTGATGAGATGATGGGAGGGATGATGCAAAGACATTGGGTTAAACAAGAAGGAGGGATGATGAGACCCCATGTACCCAGGACGTGCGATCGAACGGACCCCCCAAAATCCAACACGATGTTCAAAGAGCAAAGACATTGAGCAACAAAATTGCTACGATCCTGTTCTTTATTTGCAAGTGTGTGTGTGGCTTCCTCGAGCTCACTAGGTTAGGACAGAGGTTTCTTTCGCTCACATCCCCTCATCTTGACAGGATGTCTTGTCAGGTTGTAAAGACCCCCCCAAAGGGGAAAAGAAGTGTAAACTAACACATGAAGACACACATCCCCCGAAAGAAATGCGAACAATTAAATGTATGTGTAAAGGGGGGCCAGCCCAACGGTGGCGGCTCGCTTCTGGTAGTACATGGAATTCATCCGATTGATATTCCATCACATGCCATCGATGCCCAAGCTAAAGCTTTGCTTCGCAAACATCTTGATCTGAGAAGACTCACCAACAAGAAGGGCCACATTTTGAGCAGTCCACCGAGCCGCTCGCCGCTCGCAAAGGAGTGCGTCAAGTAACCGAAGGAGTGAACTCACTTGTTCCATCTTGTTCCTACCTTTTTCAGAGTTTTCAATTATCAGAAGTCCTGGTCCAGATTGGTCTATGTCACGTGCTCTTCAGGACTACAGCAGCTGCTGATCCAACACGTCAGCTGGCCCTAAAGGTGCAGGTGATCAACGAACCATCCAACCTGGTCCTGCCCCCTTGGTGCGCGGCTCACTCAGCACAAAAGAGGAAACGGTGGGGCAAATCCTGAACTCGCCACGTTAAAACACCTCGAAATCCGAAAGCATCTGAGAACAATCATGTATAATTCTCAGAACCTTCTGGGACAGCCCTGAGGGCCTCGTACCGTACCGTGTCCATCCTGGAGGATATGAGGGGGGCGCCTCATCTGCGCACACGCAACACCTGGTGGACATCTCCCTCCTCTGAGATCCCTTCAAGGATACGAAAGGATCCATTTGAGGCGGTCTATAGATTTCAGCAGATTCATCTCACTGATAGACTTATATAAATTCACTCCACCTCACCACCAATGATTGTACTCGAAGCTGCTGGAAAGCCTACCCAGCCCAAACAACCATTGTGCTGGACCAAACGATGTTTCGGGTGAAAGCTGAGGCGATCCACCGGAATCACCACTGAAAGAGAGATTCCATGACTGGGTCTTTTAGCTTGCAATATGTTGCAAGCCACTTACAGGGACCAAAGACCTTGAACAGCTTTGAAATCAAGGAGACTTCCACATCAAGGGCACCAAACTGCCATTCTTTTCTCCACAGGTCCGCATTCTTCCGTCCGTCCTACCTCTGGTGCGTCCTGGGTCGCCCCAACATCTCCAGGATTGAGCCCAAACGAGTGCCGTACCTCAGCGGAGCGGAGCCGAGCCGAGCCCTGCGGAGCCCGCGCCGCGAGGCGCGAGGCGCCGGGACCCATCGGTCTTTCGAATGCGGCGGGGCACCTGCTTTGGAGAATGCGGCGATTTGGTGAACAGGAAGAAAGCCCATGATGTTGGCTTAAAGAGAACTCAGTTGGCTAAAGCTTAATCCCCCTTCAAAATCCTAGTTGCTAAGTAATTAGCCAACTAAGCAGCCAACTAAGCCTAATACACCTGGACAGATGGAACCAGTTTCCGCATATTGCTCGGAAACAATCTTTCACGGGCTCATGGAAGACAAATCCTACCCTGTGGATACCATTTTCCACGAAGTGTCAACCGGAGTTATGCCATGGGCATGAGCGTGATAGTGGCCGCGTCCCACTGTACCACTTCCAAGATCTGTCATACTTCTGTAGCTGCAAAACAGGGGCTGTGTGATCAGATCATCAACCATGACCTTAAAGGACGACCAATTTCGCGTTTGATCATGCCGAAACACACCGAACCCTTCGCAATGCAGCTTTTGTCTGCAAGGCAAGCACCAAGTGAGAACTGGTCGGTTCGTTCCAGTTGGATGACTGGTGCACTTGACACTTCAACAATAAGCTACAGAATGTTTGTACAACTGTAGCGCAACAATTCCTGGCTCGGTTACCCGAAGGGCCCGGGCGGCCCGACCGATCAAATAGACATATTTCAACCTACTCTCCCTGGCATGAACATGGAAGTGGAGTTCACCACCTGTTTGTAGTGGATTTCATGGTCTTCCTTTCGGGACCTTTCTCCGTTTCCATGTTAGTTCCAGGGAGTGTATTGTTCCGCCCATTTCAGGCTGATGGTTTGCACATGCGCTGGGCCCCCGGAATCCGGTCACTTTGGACGCGGCCGGGTGCGTCGACCGGGACGGATCAGGGGCTTCTGCCGGGCGCGGGGTGCGCGGCCGCGGAGGCCTGGGAGGGAAAGGACTGGAGCCCTGAACACGTTGATCTGATTGGTCAATAGAGGTTCCCTTGGGTCAAAGACTGTTGAATCGTCATCCCTGAAGAACATGGCCCAATTGGGATAATGAATCAGGATGAGAAAGAAAGCACATGCAATCAGATGCATACACATGCCAAAACCAAAGCACTACCCAGAAGACTTGGGAAAAACATGGGAAAACCTGGACGTTGGGATTCATGTCAGACAATCGAACAAAAAAGGGAAAAGCAGCAGGAGGTTCGTTATATCATTATATCCAATCTCTTTGCTAATTCTCACTCCCTAGCCTATAGCAGATCCTAGCAGCATTTTACCAGAATGCCATGTGCTTGGTTAGCTGCTGGTCTCTCAGATGTGTCATTTCCGCCTTGACTTACGCAGCACGCACAGCGAGACCGTTTCACCTCTTAAGTTCGATGCTACTCACTTGGCTTCTTCGCTTGGCTCACCTTCGCTTGGCATCCCTGTCTATCAAGGTCCAGCCCCCGCTGTCTATCAAGTGATCCTCATATGGGTGTGAATCACCATTCGGATACTGTACCTTCAAGCAGGAAGAAGAAAACACAATGAGATTGCTGGCTTGGTCACTGTAAGGTGCTGAACTCCCCTATGACACCTGCGTCCAGGTTGACATGCACAGTACAGGTCGAGGGGGCTGTGCATGCAGTGCCTTTGGTTCCTGGTAGGAATCTGCCTGTTTTGTACCTGTTTTGGTACTTGGTATTTGCTCTTCTGGCGTGCGTATGGAGTGATGGCGTCTGTTCGCGGTGTGTTGTGATCTCGGTGAGGTGATGGAGCTTGCGGTTCACATGATGTTTCGGCTTGCGACGCGTATATACTAATTCAAACCTTCCTTCAACCTTCTTCAGCTTGCTACATTTCATTCATTATGCCAGGCCTGTGCCGTTTACGGACACCAGGTGGAATCCCTGGGGTAGGCTTTTTGTTGCTTTTTTGCAACTGAACTTGGCCTGATGGCCTTTCACTTTCACTTTTACTAGTTGCTTGTGTAACTTGCGGTGATACACAGATGCGTGCTATGCAAAATTGTTATCCTGCTTAGTGCCGTGTGTGAGTATACGCGGGTTATGATGTTGAGTGCTTGCTGTTTGATCTTACGGTGTTTCTCCTTCCTGTGGTGTTCTTGGAGATATATCGGCGCCTACTTTTTTGTCCCACGATTTGCCTCCATGAATTTGTGGCATGTTTTCTTGGAATTTGCTTGTTGGACATTTGCACACTTACACTTGACTTTGATTGCTGTGCTTGTATGTTTGCCAGCTACTGGCTTTTGCAGACATCTGTGCACAGACCCGTGCAGCCATGTCGTGGCCACATTCGCATTATGGCCACTTTGGGACTGGATCTTTGAATCCTGGTTGGGCTGGCGCTGCTGCACACCAACACCTTGGCATGCACACTGCTCCTTTCCAAGCTCCTGTGCCTGGACCACCTCCTCCAGGGGCCCCGCCGGGGTTTTGTCAACCTTCTATAAGGCGGGGGCGGTCTAGATCGCGATCACCCCGCGGGAGGCGTGCATCTCACAGGCTTCCGCAGGCCAAGGACTTGAAAGGTGACATGGGAAAAGACGAGTTCAACAAGTTGGTCTTGGAATGTTTGCTCTTGCTTTCTCCCGAAGACTTTGCCGACATTTGGGTTGGCATTCCCCGTGAGCTTCGGGCAGTAGCATGGCGCCCCCCACCGGGCATCATTGTGGATATTGATTCTTTGAAGGGCGTTGACCGCATCCAGATGTGTTCCAAATTGAATGCCTTGAGACGGGAGAGATGCATCCAGCTGGCTTCTCCAAGGCAGCAGTCACACTTTGAGGACGAGAATTGGACCATCACTCCCATGTCGAGGCTTTGTTGTTCACGTTTTTGGGAGTGTTTTCGTTTGCTGCCGCTGACTACCACGAATGAATCCAAGTGGAAGGCAACTGTGAAGTACCTTTCCAAATGCCCAGAGAAAGCCGATTCCTCAGATACCTCACGGCACATTGATGCCAGCACTCGTGCCTCGGATTCGCTTGGTGAAGCTGTTGCTCCTGACCGTGTGCCGGGGCCCAAGTTGGCAACTCCAAAGAAAGGCCTGGCAGGATTATCTGCTTTGGCTGATGCTACTCCACTGAAAGCTGGATTGGACGCCCCTCCGGCCGACCGTAACAGTGAGGAGTTCGCAACTTGGGTTTCTGCTAGGATTCAGGCTGATGTGGATGGTTTATCTTTGGATTCATTAGAGGTGAAGCATGCAAACCGCTTTCCTTGCAAGTTGAAGCCCAGTGCTGCTTTGAAGACCCTTCCTCCTTTGGATGTCATGAGCCCCATTTACCAGCACACATTTCAGTTCTACTTGCGCAAGTTCAAGGCTTTGCTGACGGATGTGAGCCTCGAATCGGCCCCAGCTAAGTCCTTGAAGCGCTTATGCGATGCATTGAACTTGGAGGTGCGGGGCAAAGACAGTCAAGTTCCAGAAGTGCTCGCCCGATTGCGGGCCACAGACATGGTACAATGTCCCCCGTGATGGGGTGAATGTGAGGACCAGGAGCACATAGCTTCGGCTTGTGGCGCTGCCCTGTGCTTGCTTGCACTGTTGCGATTTTGGTTCCTGGGACTCACTAAGGGAAAGATGGAAGCTGAGGAGATTATACTTCGCATCTGTGCCAGTGTATGGCTCTGCATGCTTCAAGCGCAGTCATCCCGCAGGTCTTTACACCTGCTTAAATCTTTGGGTGGCTTGCCTTGGAACTTTTCATGGGAAACTTTGTGGCATGGCTCTGTCATCTATATGTGTGTCCCGATGTTCCCACAATACTCTTCTTTTGGTCCCCTCGCCTACGTCGGTGAGACAGACAATTTTGCCAGACGTGTGAATGAGCATTCTTGTCGATTGCTTGCTCCCAATGGCGCTGTACAGCAACCCTTTTTCCATTTTGTGAGAGCGGGAGAGTGTGCTCCCCACCTCATGCGGCTGGCAATTTGTGAGTGGATCTTTTTTCCGGTTGTCCCCGCACCTGGTGATGGTTGTGCGCGGAGAGCATTAGAGGCAGACTGGATTCGGAAGATCGGTGTATTGAACCCACCTCGGGTGCACCGCTTGCTTCGGAGCAATGGTGTGACTAGCAGGAGTTCACTGGTCTTTGGGAGAAACCGCCTGGTTTGCAGACTGAGGGCCAAGACGTTTCCTTCTCCGCAAATTGTGTGCGGGCAGAAGCTTGCTCATGATGCTTGGAAACAAGGGTTGCAGCGAACCGCTGCTGCGCTTGCAGGACATCGTTTTCCTGGCTGTGGACTGTGTGCTTTGGCTGCTTGGAGGTTGTCGAGGTCAGCTTGGGTGTATGTAGTGCAGCGTGTCACCAACAACGAGTCAGGGTGGCGCCGAGCACGGGCCTTGCGCGTGTTGCGTCGGATTGCTGGCATTCGAAGAGACTTGCCATCCCCCATCGCTGTCATTTCTTGTGACATTCCCTGGGTTGGGTCGCAGCAAGCTCGCAATTTGGCCGTGCACGCGGTGCGTTCTTTGGTGGCCTCATGGCGCAGGGCGGGTCATTGGTTACCTATTTTGAGGCATGCGCGGATTCGTTTCCGGTGGGCAACTACGCCCTCTCTTGGTAGCGTTCTTTGCAGCCGTGACTTCTTTGCAGACTTTGCAATGGTGAGGCCGCCTTGTGTTTGTCGGGAGTTCCTGCTGGCAGACCCCACCTGGCCCACGGTGACCGTGGATGGTCAAGTGCACATTGCTGCATCCCAGGCTCGGATTCCATGGCCACGGCACTTGCGGAAGTTCAGAGAATTACCAGCCAACTTGCGTTTGCCACCGAGGCGGCAGCAGATCGCAGTTGCTGTGAAGCAAATGCTTCGTCGACTGCGGGACCGTTGCAAGCTGGCGGATGAGCCATGTTGGGTCGAATCCGTTGTTGCCGATTTGACTGCAGCTTTGCAAGGGCTAGCTGCTCAGCACTCTACCAGATTTCCTGTTTCGTGGCTGGAGATTTCACTGGCCCGGGAATTCCTCAGGCCTTTCTTCACGCAGGTCTTTGACCACAACCTGTCCCGTATTGGTGTGTTTTGTCCTGCCCTAGTACACGTCCAAGCTTGTGCAGCTCTTGATCTTGGTGATCATGGCACGGGGCTGGATTTTGCTTGGGAAGCTGATACGCGGAGGGCTGAAGTGATGGCTACCATGGCAAAGATTGAGGGCCTCCCGCCGCACTTGCAACCAACGCGGCTGTCCTTGGTACCAGCCAGATCTTGGTCTATCGGAACTCCCGTTTTTCTTCCAAAGTGGAAGGGTCCAGGAGTGAAGTGGCGCCTGATAGTGAACAAGCACCACGCGCCGGCGACTGGTTTGCACTCGGCTGTATCTAGAGCCATTGATGTTGTTCTGGACAATATGCCCCGCGAGGCTTGGTCCGATTTTCGATCAGCCAATGCCTTCTTGGGCATGGTCTCGGACTTCAACGCTCTTGTGAAGAGCATGTTCATGGAGCCGCGTGGGTGGATTGCAGCGATGGACATGGTTGATTGTTTCCACCACCTTCCTTGCTCCGAAGCGCCGTCTATTTGGGATGCTCTTTCTGCCTTTTGGAGCGCCCGACATGTGGCTTACATCAGTGTGCCTTTACGAAGGGGCGGTGGTGCTGGTCGCCTTGGTCTGGTCTGTGACGCTGGCTGGGTTTGCTTTTCCTTCGCAGAGATTCGGGAGGTGTTGATGCACTTTACCTTGACCAACTTTGTGGCTCTGCCCGGCCTCCTCGGGCGTGAGCTGCGTGGGGCTCCAATGGGCGATGCTTTGAGTGGGGCAGTGCTGCGGCTCTTCAAGTGGAGTAGGGAGGCTGCGCAACTACCTGTTGAGGAGGCAGACACTGTTTGTTTCCGCAGGTCCTGCTCAAAGCTGGTCCATCTCTGTGGTTGCAACATGTTGGTCCTTGACGTCAGTTTCCGGGACGACTTGCGCATGTTTTGCGTGTGGGACGGGCAAGCCATCATTGATAGGGAAAGGGTGGCGCAATGGGCTATCTCCAGGCTGCGCGCCCGATACCACTACGGCACCATGAGCTTGGAAGAGTGTGAGTTTCGGACATTCATTGGTTTGCGGACGGAGTTTGGAGATGAGGGCCTTTTTGTAGCCCCTGTCTTCCCTGACCCGTTCGGAAGCTGTAGCTACCACACGGTCGACTTGCGAATTTTGCAGCCATGGTCATCGTGGACCCCCCGTTCACAAAAGACGGCGGTCATTAAGGGATGGCTGTGCCGCATCTTTCATTTGTCCAGCTGCTCCGAGGGCAGGGCTCTTGCCTTTGAAGAGGCTTTTTTGTCTTTATGTTCTTTGGCTGGATTCCCTAAAGACCTGCTTGCCAGGGTGACCAGAGATTGGATCCTTCGCTGGGTGTCCGCAAAGGATGCCCGTGCAGTACAGTGCGTAAGACTTGAGGTGGAGAGGGCATTGTGGCGATTGCGTTAAAAAGTTTGCCGTCGCTCATTTCACTTGCTCTTACTTGCTGTTTCTTGCTGTGCACCCCTATGGGTGCTATGTGGGGGCGATCCAGTGCAGCATTGCTGGCTGGGTCACTGTAAGGTGCTGAACTCCCCTATGACACCTGCGTCCAGGTTGACATGCACAGTACAGGTCGAGGGGGCTGTGCATGCAGTGCCTTTGGTTCCTGGTAGGAATCTGCCTGTTTTGTACCTGTTTTGGTACTTGGTATTTGCTCTTCTGGCGTGCGTATGGAGTGATGGCGTCTGTTCGCGGTGTGTTGTGATCTCGGTGAGGTGATGGAGCTTGCGGTTCACATGATGTTTCGGCTTGCGACGCGTATATACTAATTCAAACCTTCCTTCAACCTTCTTCAGCTTGCTACATTTCATTCAAAAGACACGTTACGACAATGGCAATGGCATATATCATTGGCATATCATTGACCCTCAGCACGTCTCCCGACCCCTCAGCACGTTGCATCCTTTGAGGCCCAGCTGCTCCGCACGCTCCGCACATGTCGCTGAGCTCTCCTGGGATCGGTCGGAGCGGATCGGCGGAGTGTCTGGCTTCAGGGCTCTGACAGTGGAAAGACCTGTTCATCACCAGTGGAGGAAGGACCTGTTCATCACTGCAAGGTCTCGGTATAGCCTTAGATTCTACTGCACCCCTCCTGAGCATCTACTCCGAAACAAACTTCATAGCCATTACCTTGAGGCTCCCTTTGGACTGCGAAGCATGTTATTTGGACTGCGCATGGGTTTGAGGGTGTCGCCTCCGCCAGAATATGCGCGACAAAAAAGCCGTGGCACTGACCCAGACTCCCACCCCCGTCCTGGCGCCGTGTTCATCTGTCCGGTGTGTCCCCGATAAAGCCATTACGGCCGGTGGTGTTTCTCATGTGGTGGACGTTCTGAGCGGGTCGGAGGGCACCAAGGGGTGTTCATTCAACATCATTCAACACCCCGAAAGAGGGGCCCTGAAAGCGGGGCACATGCACCGCCCACCTCCGCCCACGTCGCGCAGCCGGGTCGACCCCGTTGACCGAGACAGGTCGCGCAGAAGGTTCCTGTCGACATGTCTTTCTCAACGAGAGTCGTCAGTCAGATCATGTCAGATCTATTCGATCAACGAAGCCGAATTGTCCGTCTGGAGAAACCCTGGCAGTTGCTTTTGTTGCCAAGCTTCTGATGTGCTTTCAAGTCTACCATGGGCAAGGCCTCTGGCGCTCCAAGCGCGATGCCTTCCGTGCCGCGGTCTTCGTCGCCTTCTCCGCAGTCTTTGCGGCCAAAGGAGACGTTGCTCCAGTTCAGCCTCAGCTCTCCAGGAGTCAAAAAGGGTTCATGGACGACCATGTGTTGACAATGTGATGACCATGTCCAACACCCTGAAGTTTGGATGCTTCATGATGCTTTGGGGCCTAAGGATTTTTTGTTGTTGAAAGTTGAAAGGCATCGGTTTTCACTGAGAAAGTTCCCTTCAAGATCTTCAAGGCCAGTGGCCAAGTGCAATTTTTGGAGCTTTGCCACTACCTCCACCTCTGCCGAGTTCGGACCCTAGTGGAACAAAGCTGTCAGCATTGTCATCAACTCGATGTACAGGCCTCATGATGTAGCCATTGATAGAAGCTACTAGGTTGGAGGCCATCGCTATTAAGTTGCAGGCCATCGCTATTAGGTTGGAGGCCATCGCTACTTGGTTGGAGGCCATCGCTACTAGGGTGGAGGCCATTACTACTGCTATAATAGTAGCTATATAGAAGTTACTATAAACATCTAGTAACAATGCCTCATGATGCCTCACGAGCCTCGAGAACTGGAGATTTCTTGCCAGTTCGAGTCCCAGCCAGCCAGCCACCGGCGGCCACGAAGATACAACATATGCTCAGCAGATGTTATGATCACCCTGCCAGGCGCCACGATGCAAGACAAAGACTGGCGGTCCAGGCTGGTCAATCAGCTCAGGAGGGACTCGGAGGGACCTGTCACTTAGAATCCGTCTGAAACAAACACAAGATGGGATGAGGTCAGCTCCTGATGCTTCCAAAACGCCCCCGGGGGTCCTTCTCCGACTCTTCTCTTAAAGTTCAAACAGGTGCCCTGGCGCTCAGTCACTTCGCAAAACCGGTGACCGACCATCTAATTACCGGCGACTCGCGCGGAAAAAAACGCGCACAACACAGCGATGAGAGTGGCGAGACCCACTGGACACCCCGAGGTCTACGACCTTTGCCCCTGGTTTTCACCACGCAACCAGAGGTCAGCGCGCTTCCGCAAGGTCCAGCTGTTCTCCCCGCACAGCACGGCGCAGCGGAGCCCCGAGCGTTGGATCTCCAAGACAATTTGCCTCACCACGTGGCAGGTTCGAAAGGAGGACTCACCAAATCCATCCAAATCCCATGAAAAGAAGCCTGATGCAGCAACATGAAACACATAGTCTACACTAAGCACACTCCCTGGAACTCGGAAATGGACCCTGACCAATTCCTCATCTTTCCGTGTGCGTTTCCCACGCCAAGGGAGAGTACAGTACATGGCCGGGAACTCCGAGTGTTCGGACGGACGTCCATCCGGGCGACCCCGCCTGAAGTCCGAATCATCGGACACGAGGCACACCAGGTCGGGCTCGGCCTGGTGTCCAGGTCGATCCCACGGATGACCGGGCTGATGACCGGGCCACACAGCCACATGGTTGGGTGGAAAGTCATGGAACATCCAGTTTTTTGGTCAAGAGAAGTCGTCTTCCAAAGGATGCCATCCACTGAAAAATGGTACAAGTAGTGAGGCAAAGTGTTAATCCACCAAACTCGAGGAGAACTACTCTACAAATCTCTACAAGCCCTTTTGGACATCCCACCTACAATGTCCCACCTATATACTGTCTTATCAAAAAAGAAGGGAGCAAGGTGACAAAGGCACCTTTTCAGAGGTATCCATACAAAATCAAAACACCAACTGTTTCCTTGGCACTTCAAAAGAAATACCGGGCACACCGCACACCTTCTTCTGGACGTGGCGGACCTTCCCTCATGAACCTCGGTCCCCTCCACGTCCCCCGCGGCGACCTGAGTCTTCCACTTCCAGGGCGCAACCATCCGGGCAGTCTCCCGTACCAGCCTCACTGTGGATGATCTACCTGGCACCTACCTTCCAAGGCACTCCTGACGAAAGGGTTGAAATATCTGAAATAGGGAGACCTAGACCTTCTTGATCTTGCAGTGAGTCTGTACTGGGAGTCTCTCTGTTTCAACAACACACCCTGTCTCAAATTAACAAACACTATGAAGAAGGATACTCCCAGCGGTTCATCAAACTTGAATCTTTGACCTTTCATATCTTTTCACCACGAAGATGGCCTTCACACTATCGTCCATCACCTTAGCCGCTTAGCCCGTCCGAATCATGTATTCCAAGGCATCATTGAACACCCAAGGTTGGCAGCTAGTCCAGTTGTCAAGACTGGTCAAAACCCACCTCCGTGGCTGAGGTATATATGTACTATTTCTTCTTGGAGTTCACCTTGAGATGTCACCCCCGCAAAGGCTCTGGATTAATTACTCCTGAACACCAAGCTTGTACAAATAGATCTGCATTTCCCTGGCTGCTCCAAGCCATTCCACTTCCACATCACCCGGCGCTTCAGGTCTCTCCAAGCGTCCAGAAGTCCGCCGCCTGCCACCGCGCTGGCACCACGACCAGTTGCGCGTCGAGCGCGGCCAAAGGAGCAGCGTTGAGCAGCGGGAAGCGCGCGCCGTTGGGGAAGAGCTGGGGGAAGCTCTGGCGCCAGCGGATGAATGAGCAGGTGGAGACTAAAGACAGTCAGACCCAGGTGGCACCAAAAGTAGACCTGAAATGACCTGAAGATCTTGAAAAAAGTGACCTGATCATGTATGTTGCATGAACAGATGGAGTACGGTTCCCACAATTGAAGTGGCACCTTTCAAGCCTCCCCTGTCAGAGCCCTACAAGAGCTGCACAAGGAGAAGAAGTCTGGCGTGCGAGAGAAACAGAAGTATTCTGCCACGACTTCTTGGACACACACGCTGTTGCTTCAGTGAGGTGCACTCCAAGAACAAACAACTGCTTGACTCCAATGAGCGCTGGCAGGGATGATGTGACATACCCTGATTGTTCTGGCCAACTTGGGAAGAATGCTCTCCCACCCACCCGGCACCAGAGTTCAGAGACAGAAAGGGACTCAGAAGAGGCTTTATTTCAACACAAAATAGGCACAAACACACACACAACTTTGAGCCATCCACATGGACAGGGTTTAACAACCTCAGGTGATGATTGGCCCGATGCTGTGGCCTTATTCCCCTTGACATCGGTCAAGAAGTTCATCAAGGAAGGCATGAAGCCAAGGCTCTTAAAACCTCATGGGCGCAGTGGCTCCAGTGTGTCCATCCCCCAGCCAAAAGGAAAATGGCTCTATCCCCGGCGTGTTTCCATTCAGACATGATATGCATCAACACACGTTGAGTCTATTACTATCATATTCTCACCTCGGGACCTCCGTTGGTATCTGTTGACCTCCTCGCCTCCCCTCGGATTCGCAAACAGCGGATCGCTTTTTCTTCGCAAAAACGAACAACAGCCAACACATGTCATAGGGGGCGCGGTCTGGAACTCGAAGGAAGGGCCCCTGGTGGCAGGTCTTTGGGTTCTTGTGAGTTTGTTCACACGCCGACATGGTTGAACTATGTTGCCAAGTTGAACTGACATGCTTTCCAGCAGGTGTTGCCAAGCTCCGTAGCTATTACTATCCATGACATTAACTTTTTCTAAGGAGCTCTGAGAGGTTTGCTTTCAGGGGCGCCGATCAAGTGGACAATCACTTCGATATGCAAACAGAGGCGTTGATCGATCCAAACACCACGCTGCGCTGTGTTCCAGGGGTGCCACCCCCTTCTTCGAAGCATCCCGCTACCAATTTGGGGGCGACCCGGGTGACCTCCAGTCTCCTGTCGGCGACCTGGGTGACGGAGTTTTCAACAGGTAGTGACTGCAAAGCAAATAGAGCATTTCCGTTGGATAGTTAGTAGATGGAATCTATTGGATGGACTCCCCTTGAAAGGTTTTGGAATGTATTGGATGTCGTGAGACGCTTTCTCTGTGTACAAAAACATACAAAAACCAAACCAAGCGAACAGGGCAGGGTCACATTGCGTTCCAGCAACTGGTATAGAGGCGGACGGACTTCAACTGGTGTCCAGGAAAGCACTGCCTTAACAGTTGTGGCAGAAACTATTCTGAAACACTGGCATCACATTAACAGGCTAGCTGCTTGTTTCTCTTCTTGAACACGGTAATTGAGATGTATGGCTAGGTAAAACGAATCCTTGATTTGCGAACTCTCTCAGTCACTTATATAAATGACAAAAACATCCCCAAAAAAACAGACAAACTAACAATACGGCATTACGGAGTGACAAGTGCCAACGACCTCATGCGGTCCTAGGTCAAACACACCTGATTGAAAAGACTATTCATTACATGTACGCATTCATCGGTTAATCAAAAATACAGGACCTGTTCCTTTTGGAGATTCTGTGTTCACCCCCTCAGTGCTCGAAAAGGGCACACCAAACACCGGTGTTCTCCACGACCAAAGCGGGCTTTCTGACCTGCCTCAGTGATTTGTGGGAATTAGACCAGGTAGAGGTGAGATAGAAGAAGCCACATTTCACACTCAGAGCTCATCACACTCGCTTGGGCGAAACGTCTGCGATAAAACATCTGGGAATTGCTTCATCACCAACCAATGAATCCTTTTGACCAAATAGAGGGGTTCATTATCGGTTGTTCACTTGGAGGTATCCCCTCTTTGAATCAACCAACCAAGAGTAAAGGGCTATCTATGTCACGGACGTCGCTTTTTGTTGTTTACTTTTTGTCTTGTCATCCATGGTCTCACTATGAACGGGGCTCGCGGAACGAGCGGGTTCCGGGGCCCTCGTGGGAACACGTTGCTGGGGAGTCCGGTGAGCGAGCGCGGTCCTAGGAATGTTGGTCTGCCGTCACAGGGCCCAAAAAACCACAAACAAATGCAAAAAAAGGGTTGTCAAACGGTGATTCTGCAACATGTGACATAAAGGTGTAGATGTTTTCAACTGTCGGACCGTCAAACATCATGTTGATTCTCCTTCAGAACGGTCCTGGGATTCGACCCCCCCCCCCTCTGGCTCCTGGGCTGTGCCCGTGTCCAAGGCCTGAATGAGGGCCCTCACGTGCTGCAGTGCTTGTGCTTGGGCGCACACCCCACCAGGACAAGAATAGAGTTGTCCGGGATGTAAATGACCGTTCAAGGGTTTCGTCACTTAAAAGGCGCGGCTAAAACATAGCTAATATATATATATATATGCCCTGAATCAACTCGAACGTTCCCACGCCAAGTTGTAGGACTGGGGAACAGCAAACAGGCCATAGTGTCTTCCAGCCTTTCCTGAGCGCTGTCCGGTGCAGGTCAGCAGTAAAGGGGTCACATGCAAAGTGAACAACCCCATCAGTGAGTGATTGTCCCAGCATAACAATGGTTCCAGTATACAGGTTAGTTATGCATGATTGGTGTAGTCTGCTGCCCTCACTGCACTTCTTCTGCTTCATCGCTTTCTTCAAACCTTCCTTTGGAACAGCTAGCATCGCTTTTTGTTTGCATCACCCTGAAATGGCCAACCGGGCATCCGGAATCTTGTTCTCAAGGTCCCAAAAGATGTGCAAGCTTGGTGGGCGTTCTGCTGTGTCCTGGGTCTCCTGCCAGACTCTGCCAGACTACTGGGAGTCACTGGGTCTCAGTAGACCCGATACGGTGGATTTTGGAGCACGGGATGGGAGGAGTTGGCAGAATCAACTGGAGCTTTTCTCCATGCATGTCATGTCATTTCTACTCCACATAGTGCAACTAACCCTATCCGATGTTCAGTAGCTAAAGATAATCCGAACAAATAAAGCCGACTAACCTTTCCAAGACTTCTCCTTGTCACAGCAAATCCGGAAAGTAGAAGACTTCTCCTGGTCACCCATGTGCGTTCAGCTCTCCACGCCACGACCGTCTCACCGCCGTTCGGCTCCTCCAAGGCCTTCTCCGCCTCCAACGCCCGCATGGCCTTCTCGCGCGCCGCAGGACGACGCAGCGGCGGTGCGAAGGCGAGGGGCGCCGCCAGAACGAGGGCGGCGGTCAGGCGGCGGTGGCGCATGTCGCGCGGTCATGGGCCAAGTGACCGGTGAGCTAGGTGGCACATGGTGGCAATGGTAGGGGGCCAAGTGAGCCCAGCGAGTCTGAAATTGCATGAGTCATGCCTTGGAGTTGTTCTCAAGTTTCTGACATTTTTTTGTTTTTGGACACAGTGAACTCACAGAATACTAGTGCAACTCCACAAGTGAGGAAATGACACCTTGAAGGACTTGGTGCTGAAATGTGCACTCACGGCATCTTGCTTTTTGGAACACAATGCAAGCCAAGCAAAGTAAGAGTCAAAAGGAGCTGTTGTTTAAATGTTCCTCTACCAAGGTCGTGTTCTTTCAGTTGCTGCACCTGTTTGGCAACAAAGAATGCAACAAAGAATGCAAATGGAATCAAATGGACCACTTGACGTTCGAGTCGGAGAGCCGAGCCCAGGAAGATCGATCAGGTCTTGGCCGATCGAAGTGGCCCACTTTGGGTTGCGGGGGATGCTTCAAGACGAAGTCGGTGTCTCAATCCTTTGAGCCTCCAGAATGAAACTGCGAACGAGTCTATACAGTATATGACTCTACTCTACGTCATAACTGCACATGAAGCAAATGGAATCTCATGGCACGAACTCGGCGTCTCGTATTCCCAAAAGAGTGGGTGATCATGGTTGACGGGGGCTCGAGATACCAACATAGGTCCTTGCGTTAAAGGCGCTACTCCAGTATCCAATTCCTGCATCAAAATGATGCACATCCCTAACCACATCCAACATCATCCAACCATAATAATGTGTCATCTATTGAACACTGTGAACAGACTAAGAGATTAGCTCGTCTGGAAAACGTCCAACAGATTAGCTCGTATGGAGAGTCGCCTGTACTAGTGCATGTCCAACAAGTTATATAAACACAAAGGCCGGAGAATCAAGACTTGAATGGTGTGTTGGTGTTTGTTTTGTTGGTTTGTCGGTGTCGATTTGGTTCGACACTTCGTCCACACTGGGTGAATCCCCGCGTGTTCCCGGTCACAAAGCCAAAGCTGAAGCCCACACACCCATCCTCATACATGCCGCCGCTAGCTTCCAATTCCTGCCACGTAACAAGTTACATAACACCAAAATGAACCCATCCTTGATCAACTATGTTGTTTTCCAGTCGTCGTTTTTCGTGTGAAGTTGAGTATGTTGAGTGGACCTCCAAAGGTCCACGAAGCCACCATATCTTCCAGATTCCACATCTCCATCATTTCAATTCTCCATGGTGATTTGTGATTTCATCTTCATAATTTCCACATTCCCAATCATGTCCCAGTTCTTTTTGGGAGTCAAAGAAGAGTCGTGTCGTTCCGTCGCCCCGCTGGCACCCCCACTTGGCTCGCAGGTGTGCCCAGAAGCGACTCGGTGCGTGCGATTGAGTCAAAGCTCGGTGAGTCGAGGAACTGCGTCCATCTGGTCTTTCAGTTTGCAAAAAGCAGGGTTTGTGGAAGTTCACAGTGCCGGCGGGCGTCCGAACAAACATGGGGGAGGTTTTGATCACCAGAGTCAAACAAATTTAAACACACCAAGAGTCCGCTTTTTGTTACATGCAAGTTTTGGACAGGTCGTCCAAGGTTATCCTTTGTTTGAAACCGAGTTTCATGACACATCGACCGATGTCGACCGAAGTCTCACATGAAACGACGTGGATTCAACACCACACCGGTGCTCCCGAAGAGCTGCTGAAAGCTTCAGCGCTTGGCGCTTGGAAGGTCAGCGATCACGTCTGTCTGTCCAAGGTTCGCGGAGTGCGGAAAACTGGTTGGGTGGGGAAGAAACCATGGGAGCAAGTATGGGACCGCTTCTTGTTGAGCCGTTCACGCGCTGCTGTTGTTGCTGTTGTTCACATTTAAAAACAACACATCCTACCTTGCAAACGAACAAGGACACTCAGGCAGGTTTCTTTCAAAGCTACAAGAGTGACAGCTGCCAATCACTTGATAGACACTGACACATCCTACTGACCCTCCTCTCATCCCTCGAACGGCGGTCGGGCACGGATGGTGTTTGGTACCCCCACTGCGGACTCAGCGCTTCAGCCATCCTGGCACGGATGGTTCGGCGCCACCGCTGCAGGTGACATGAGGACTGTGACAAAAACGGATCAGCCATTGTGTCGAAGTGCTTAGGGTGCTGTCGGCTTTGCCCTTTTCACCCGTCGATGGTATAGATGTGGGAAATCCCAGGTGGTTCAACCTCCCAAGTGCCCTAAGGATCCACACCCATGTGCAAACCCCGATGGAAAGCTCGACCTTTTCCAAGGATTCTTGGGGTGGTGAAACTGTGTCATCTATACTATACAGATCACATGCCGTATCTGCTGCATCTGCTTACATGCTCGAACACTCAATGAACATATCCTTTTCAACCACCTTCAAGCTGCTCCAGTCACTTCCTTCAAGTCGACCCAGTTGTCCCGTTTTTCATTGTCCGGACGACTTATATAGTGCTGACTGGACTGCTGCTTCGCCCAAAGCAGTGGTTACTTTGGTCAGGTTGCAGCTAGCATCTGTGGCGCGAGGTCCTTGCACCTGGCAACAGGCTTTGCCACTGGACCCCTTGTAAGACCCTCGCGAAGGAAGCACCTTCGACCGTCCCATGTGGGAGTGATGACCTTCGAACGGTTGTTCGACTGTTCCTTGGTGGCTGTTCGCTGTTTGAGTGGCGGTCGGAGCCAGCTTTGCCAGAACGGCCACACGCTGGTGCGGTTAGCTTGCTTGATCCCCTTCTTCAGTCTAAAGTATCAATTGCCGTTCGCTGAACACAGCTCAAATATCACCAGCCTTGCATTTTGCGAATTCATTGGCTCGTAGAAGAACAGCCGAACATTGCAAGCTTGCATGATGTCTTGCACTGAAACCAAGCTGGATTAGGCTTTTAGGCTTTTAGCCCCTTGTTTGCTGTTATATAATATATGTATATATATATATACATATTGGATCATATTGGAATGAATGTTTGTATGTCATAGATTTTGATGTGTCCGCATAATGTTCGGAAGGTGTCGGATTGGATTATCATGGAACGTTGATGGGGTGGCAGGAGTTGTGCTTTCGTGTCTTCTATGTCGTAGCATTCCACCATTCCATTTTTGTGTGGTAGGTGCACGAGCAGTTTAAATTCCTGTGCATGCAAAAGAAACCTTTCTCCATATTCTTTGTGTACCGAGGGTTGTGGCTCTCGAAGTAATTAGAGCCTGCCCATGCTTTCTATTGCTTGATTGTAATAGTTGGTCAGGACTGCTTCATGCTTTCTTTGCCTTCGAATATGCAATGCTACCTGGCTTTCTGCCAAAGAGTGCAAGTGTTGCTGTTGCGTCTTTTGGAGCGCCTTGCATTGCTTGATGATATGATGTTCCGTCTGTGCAAGATGTGCCCTCCAAATACGTAGCCTTGAAGGATGTAGCACTGGAGGCACTTGCCTTGCATTGCTACATCAGGGTCCAAATCAACCGCGCAAGAGGGGACTTGGAACACTGATGAGCACCAAGGCAGTGCTGGAACAGCTCGTCCTTTGAAGTGGTCTTAAGTATGCGACGGACAGCTCAAACCCGAAGCGCCTGAGCTGTCCCGGCGACTCCTCCTCATCGCCTGACGCAGGCCGTTCGCAATCGCGTTCGGCCGTTCGGCATGACGGAAGGGTTTTTCGGAGACTGTTCATGACATCACTAGCCCTTTTATCAAAATACACACAAAGTTATAGTTGCTTTCTACATCAAAGTATTTAGGGTATTGGTTTTGCATGGAGGCTGTGCAGGGTTCACACATTGACGTCAAAGGACATAATCATGACTGTAGAGGTATCGTGCTTTTGGATTTCCAGTCTCGTTTTCCGAGAAATACTCAAAAAATCACAGTCTCGCATGAAACTTGTATAAACCAGATTACAACTAACAGTTTTAAACACGACTCTAAATCATGTGTGTTCGGGGTTGTGTCAGGTCGGCTTAGGTGTTTATAAGGGGCCTTCTCATAATTGTAGCCTGTAGTGGATGCAGTTACCATTGTCAATTGCCACTATGAACACTGGTCCGACAGACCCAAATCTAAACACGGATAGCCTATCACATATATACAATATATGTATAATATACAATATATCTAATATAATATTGGTCCCTACCATAGAGCACCCCTATCTCAACATACCTGGGAATAATTACAGTATAGATATTATTACAGACCCCTTCCATATAGATCTTGGAAATTATTCCAATATGTAATCCACGTGTGGAACAGTTAAAAGGACAACTCATAGACCCCCTAATTCCATGTTAAATGGCCATATCACCAATATCACATATTTAAACAATTAAACCATAAAACAATCTGTAACATCCTGAGTACAGCAATCAGCAGCATCGAGTTTCATCGGCCATATACAAAACCTATACTTGAGGTATCTTGAGGTTCATTATTCCAGATGTAGGCAAACGTCATTTGAACCACCCACAGAAGTATTTCAATCATGTTCCTGCAAGTCCCATGTCTGAACAGAATCTCGAACAAGACTCAACATTCAAGAAACGACTCTCCGATACTCTCCGTGCTTCTCCACCCGACCCCTCGTTCTTTCTGGTCCCGCCCACGGCTGCACCACGTCTCCAGGCCGCGTCGACGGAGATCGCTTCCCACCTGAGGGAGCTCCCGTCTCGCCGCCGCTTAAGATCCGCTGCGTCAGGATCTTCACCTTCGCCTAAGGCGAGGGGCGGGCTCGGAGCTTCGGCGACGAAGGGCTCGGAGCTTCGGGGAAGCGAGGCCGCGTAGGTCGGTCGGTGTGGTGTTGACTATGCACAGGATCGGTGGAGGCGGGGGTCAAGGTCCTGACATTGGCCAACTTGGGCCTTGAAATCTGCAGGTATTGGTGGATATTGGCTTGGAGACCCCTTTTTGAGCGATATTGGCCATACTGATCATACTGGCAGTAAGTAGTCCTTTCTGGCTGGCATCTGAAGGAGAATCGCTGGCACCCAACAGCAACTTCTGAGCTGCATAAACGGTTGGTGAATTCCTTCAGCAAATAGTGAATCCAAGGCATAAGAATTTGGCAGAAAGGAACGGTACTTCTGCATCACTGTGATACAAACCCGATCAAAACCGATCATTCGAAGTTGCCCAACCTGCTGCGGTGCAGGATCACTCCAACGGTCCAAGGTGCTGGAACAGTCGAAATTGCGTCGGGCGCTCAAGTTCATGGTCAAGTTCGCTTGGGGTTGAGCAGGGCCGCAACATATGGACTATCATATGGACCAAACATGTTTGATGATCCAGGTAGGAGAACCTTCAACATCTGCTAAACTAAACAGGTGCCGTAACCGTTTATATCGTTTATCACCGGTCAAACCACCCCGAAAACATGTTCACCCTGCTCCACCGTTCTCCAGATCGTTCGCGGCGTTCGCCGTGTACACGTTTCGCCGACCGTCAAGCCCCGCCGGGTCCGGTGCCTGGCGTTCTGCCTTGGGGAGTTTGAGGAAATCTTCGTGCCTCAGATGGCTCGAGGTGCCGCCAGATGGAGATGAGCCATGCTGCCATGCTCACACTGAATGTGCCTTCACAGGAGGGCCAGCTCACTCCCAGCTCACACTCCATGCTGAAGAAAAAAAACACTCCGAACCGAAAGACATGATGACGAGTACTCGGCTGGACATGGACCAAAGGATCGCTAGAAGGAGTGGCTTTGCCACACACCGTCGGTCAGTGGCCCCCCGGGGCGAAGGGCGTTCTTCGACCAAAACACTGAGCGCTGCCGGAAGCAAACGCAACATGGGACCGGAAGCATCAGCTCTGGCACCTTCCTTCTTGGCCGTAGAGGGATACACCCCTCACCCCCGAAGAAGTGTGACCCACTGGCCGGACATGGCAGGACTGGTCAAGGAGGTTGCCAGGAGTTTTTGTGCTGCATCTGCAGTGGTATTGTGCTGTGTGGAATGATCCGGTGAACTGTAAGTCGAATGTACACATGCACCATTGCTTTTTTGTCATGTCCAAAATCAAATGTTCCACACGTGGAACTTTGTGATAGACAAATGCAAAAGGCATCTCAAACCATGCATTTTGACCTTAACACCCTTTTTTTGACATGTAACATCACGTAACCGAATCCAACTCACACTTGTGCATTGTTGCTAGATCACTGCTGCTTCTCCTTCTGCTTTATCGTGGATGCCACAACCCGGAGACGACCTGTTCGCTTGTTCCTGAACATCACTGTGCGGCCAATGGAAAACATTTCGGACTCACTAACATGGAAGTGGACAATGGCCGATCGGCAGACTGCTTTCCTTTACGAACCAGTGGGTCTTCCACTTCCATGTGAGGTGTTCGTCGGAGTGTCAACGAATGGTTCCTGTCCGCCCCCCTGTTGAGCCACACGTCCCGAGCAACATCTCAAGGACCCAGGCTGTAGGGAGTGCGAGAGCACATAGGGAACCAACTCCTCACAGCGATCGACGCATTCGACGTCATCCCATGCGACCTTGGCCAGATCCTGCTGGAGCAGCAGGAAGTCATCCCGTGCGACCTTCAAGATCCAATTGGACAACTTGAAAGGAATTAGACAGCTCTTGAGCAATTTCCTTTTTTCTCAGAGACAACTGAAATCCAATCCATGAATTAAGTCGTCTTGGGTCATTCTCCAGCTCACTGAAACTACCTCTAAACTTAAGCTTTTGAAACACCTCCCCGCAGAACTCTCTTTTGAAGGCAAACAACTCCTAGCTGGACCCAGAAGCGGAGACAACGTCTAACGCATCAGGGGCTCTGAGAACTCCAGTGCGGACAATGTGATGAGATGTCGAGTATATGGAAACCTGAGGTCTATAAATATAGCCCATGACCAAGAACAGTGGATGAGGAGGAAGAGAAGGAGGAGGAGGACGACGATGATGATGATGACGACGATGATGGATGATGGATGATGAATGATGGATGCACATGGGACGACGACGACAAGGACGACGTCGACGACGACGAGGATGATGAAGGATGAACAATCAACGATGATTGGTTGTGATGCTGGTTGTGAGTGATGATGGTGATGAAGAATGATGATGAGGAATAATTATGATGCTGCTGCTGCTGAGGAGGAGAAGGAGGATGTTGATGCTTAAGTAAAGGCCTTTCGCTGGTAAAGGGTTTGCTGACTGTTGGCCTGGCAACGGGACGCTCTCTAAATTGAAGTTGGTCAGAATTTTCACGGCCCATTCTTCAGCCGATTTAACACCCTCTAGTTCGTCGTCACGAGGTCACTTCCATAAAAGAAATTCAAACCTTGTGGCACGGGTAGACGAAATACAACTAGTGATAGCAACAAACAAACAAACATGTATAATTAACATTAATTAACGTTCTCCACCTAGGATGGTGACCAACAACACCATGTCCAGAAACCACCCGTCTCAACGACGTGTCAGCGGGGACACCGGCTCGGCTCGGGCTCCTGTTGGAGCTCCCAGGTGCTGCACCTCAAAGCGGTCATGGGGTGAGCCATGGAATAGCCATGCTGTGGAGAACCCGGACCATCAGACCCTGCATGGAAATAGCCAGGTTCACCATGTCTTGTAGTTGATTCTGCTGACTTGAAAGGCAGTCAACCCAAATACACGGACTTTGCCATTGTGGAGGTCGATCGTTTCACCAGAAATATTCAGATTTCTTGATCGATGTGGTCATCTGATCAATGTAGATGGGGGAACTGGTGGGCCCCTTTTTAGGGGGGGGCGCATCCATTTTCGATCCTGTCCCCCAATGCAATTGCACGAGACAATCCCAGGAGTTCTATAATATATATATATATATGTTGGGCAAACTTGCAATCGGGAACAAAGCCCAAAGAGCTTGCCGGCACTGCGGCCACAGTAGGTTGTTCTTTAGAGGACTTCTTCCTGGCATGGCAGTGACATGTTTGCTGGAGATTCCCTGCTCCAAATATCCACAGTCAGTGGATTCAAAAAAACGCGGTGACAAGGGAAGGTACTGTAGGAGAGAAGAAGGGTGAAACATGCAATATCTTGGGCTTCAGTCTTCAGCTGTTTTTGAGATACACTGCCCCGCTTAAGCGGTGCGGGCGATTCAACCATTGACAAGCACATCCTTGACACCGGTGACCATTGATCCATTGAGTGGAACACTTGGTTGCTTAGAGCCCCAGCATCCAGGGTCTCATCTCGAAGGGATAAAATCCCAAATTTCACCAGGAAAACAACTTTTAGGTGCAGCTTGTCTTGAACCAGGTAGTCAGTAGTACCTGGCACCTTTACAGTGTATACACTTAGGTTCCCGAACAAGCACACTGCATCTGTTGAGTATGACAAGGTCACCTGGCAACCAACGACACACCACACACCATGTCTCCATGTCAAACAGTTTCACAAATCACACAGCTTCTGCCTTGGCTTCCGGTGCTGGCTATAGAAACAAAAGGGTGTGTAGGGAGACATAGGGAGACCCTCTGGCCTGGACGGTGGGTAGACGACCAGTCTGTTTCCCGAAAACAGGCCAGCACAACGAGCAGCCCAGCCGAGATGCACTGAAGCAAAAGAACTACCAAATGAACAGTGTAAATCCAATGTGCTTGTTTTGCCTTCAAAACCCATACTGTCTGCCACACACACACACATGGTTTGGTAGAACTTGGCATGCACCTTTGGAACGGAAGAAACAACGCCCGTGCAGTACAGTAACGCACAAAAAAACACATAAACACTAACACACAGAACAAAACACACACACACAAACAAATCGTTCAGCTCGAGTGGCATCGGCTCCAGCAACAAGTCGCTTGCCTGGACGTGTCACGTGTTTTGGGTTTGGAGACTCGTTTGTGTGGTTGTCATTGTGTCATTGTCGGAACATGCATAGACCCCTGGAACATCAAACGATGGGGTTGAGGAAGGCGGGTTTATGCAATGTTGGAAAACCAAGAACATTCAATGTTGAGCTTAGTGTCTGGTGGATATTCAACCTCCATTAAGATCTTCAGAAGTCGTCTACTCCGGATCTCCACATGAAAACGAGCCGCGAACGACCCAAAAAGCGTGAGCTCCATCTGTACTTGAACCATCCCTCGGGGTGAAACGACTTTCTGAACCTCCAGCTCCCCTTCCTGCACCTGTGAGTGTTCAGAAAAAAGTATCTTTTGAGAGTAGATGGCATAAGAGATATGGGATGATATGGGTTGTCCACAAAGATCCCGATGTATCCCAGGTCTGCTTAAGATCTATCGCTCAAGAGAGCCTGCCGATATATCGCCCCACTCTGAGAGTCCGCTCACCGATGGTATGTGTCGCACTAAATCAGTGCATTTGAGATCATTTGGGTTGTACCCGGTGCTGAGTACGTGGTCCCCGGTGAACCTCAGGGCTGGCTGCACCGCCAATGACTACACACTACCGGAACCGTTCCCAGCCCAGGACTTGGCTGCGAAAAATCGCCGCCCACTATCTAACCCGGCAACAAAGAGCAGTATATAATACAACTAAGCGGGAGAGAGGCTTCGCTAATTTAAACAAAATGAAATATGTTTGTCACTAGATCACTCGATCGTGCCCAAAGCACACGAGCAGTCTACCCGTCGACCTCAGCAGTCTACTTCTCAGGTGCCTCCAAACATAGGAACACCGTCTCCTCACCTGCAGTCGCTGGAGGTTGAGATCATGAACACCAACAGTGATGAAGGCTAAATGGAGGGAGGAGGGTGTGTGTGTGTGTGGAAAGCAGCAAAAACTACTTTATACGAAGTTAGTGCATCAAAAGTACCTTCCACAAAGCTCTGCGAAGGTTGCTGGGTTGTGGCGGTGAGTTTTCCGACTGGCCCACCGTTCACCCGTTCACGTCCATGAACGGCCCCGGGTTCCACGAATGTCCCGGGGCCATCCACAAAGTTAGTCGAATAGATTTTTGCAAAACCCTTTCTGTGCACTACCCTAGCCTTGGGATGCTGACTAAACTTGGCCTTGGATATTGGGCTTGTGAGGAATCTCCATTGGGTAGCATGCTAGCTCATGTCTACTGTTTGGGGTTCAACTCCTGAACTCCTGAAATCACGTGTAATTATTGCAATGATACAGGATAGAGCTACCAAAAGTTACCAGTTTCGTTTCCCCTCTCCATGTATTTCAGTGGGTCCCGGTCCCGGTCGAATAAGTCTAGCCGTGCTCTGCAATGCCTGCGTCGCGAGCGACGCCCGCCATGGCGACACAGTGAGGGGGCTGGTGGGGGCCAACCGGCCCCAAAAGGTAAGGTGTGGAATTGGTTGGAATGGACAACGTCTCTCGACATGCGAGACCTCACCAAGGTTGACTTACAGATGAATACCTGGGTAAGGTGTGGCTTTTGTGGCTTGACGAATCAACATCGTCAATGAAGAAGTCATAGACTCTTATCATACAATAATCTTACTACCCGGACCATCCAAGGACTGGACTCTCCAACCACAACTTGTCTTGGACTCTCCAACCACATGGTCGTGGTACCCCAACTAGACTAATTAGACGACAAATCTGGTTCATTGCCTCAAGAGCTCTCTGGATCTATTCCAGTCTATTAAACCAGCCCTGTTCATTCCCCTACGCCCTGTTCGAATGACATGGAACCTGAAAACCACTGGAGGAAAACCGTTGTCCTTGCAGGTCCATGACAAGTCCGGTTCCATGTGGAACTCTCAAACACCGGGTGTAACTGTTCATTCCTCACTCCGCTGGAGCCAGGCGACACACGCCGCGGGGAGAATCCGTTGTCTTCAAGACGCGCAGAAGCATGTTTGTTGAATACCCTTGAGAACATCCGCTAATGACCCAAACCAGAAAAAGAGGTTGAAGGAGCGCCTGTCCTGTGCCTCCCATCTGAACCTCCTCTCAGAATGTTTTCAGACGGCTTTGGGTCGAAAACGAGACAAACGAGACAAGCCCTGCCTGGGCGCTTCTTTTTGGCTTCTCGCACCCAGACCTTCGGACATACCGCAGAACTTCCTCAGGTCTGTGTGCTTGGCCTTCAGCAAAGGTCCTGCTTCAGCTCCATGATCTCCACCTTTCCCTGGCAACGAACTCAGCTCCCCGACGCCACCGATCCATTCGCTCTCTTGGAAACAACCGATCCATGGACCGATCATCTTGGACCGGTTCTATCCACCCAAGTTCGCTTCTGCAGCTGCTCATGGTGTCCATCTTGGCAAGTTCACTTGCAGTCGGAAACACATACTCATTAATTGGCTTGTTGGTCGTGCTTGTTTAGGCATTCACAGGGGAACAAGCATGAAATGTCTGGTCATTAGAGGAGGTTTTGCGGCTGCCGCCGGATGTCAGCCTGCAGCAACTCCAGCAACAGCTGCACAGGTTACATGTACAGTAGATACGTTTAAGCTGCCAAGTGCAAGGCTGTCTCTTCGAACACGCCACCTTCAAGATCTGGCGCTACGTGCACTGCACCCGCCACCAGCAAGCTGATGAACTGTCCACGCATGCCGCCAGCAAAATGTAGTGCCGCCCACTCCCCTGAATCGTCTGTAACATGGTCATCTGGATAGAGAGGCTGCTGCAGTAGTTGTTCAATCTCCCAAATTGATTACTATATCTTAGCATGCAGTGATTGTTTTATGTCCTTGTCCAGCTTCAGCAAGCTGCACGTTTGCACGGGCCACAACAAAGGCCTCATCATACCAAACATTGCAATCATCCAACGATCTCTGCCGGAATCGTGAAATGAAAATCCTTGTCGTGCGGGAGTACAGGTCAAAGTCAAAGGATGAATATACTAAGATGCTTTAAATTGATTAAAACATGTTAAACATTGTTAAACCACCTGAAGCCCCCTTGCGACTTGTTTCCACCAAACCGTCACTGACTCTACGGGATGATTCCGAACACCACAGATTCGTGTCATAGATGACCCTATTTTTTGGGCTTCACAGACTTCATTCCACCTGTTCTGCCTTCCACCTCTCGCCCATCACTGCAAAGCACACACGCTTTAATTAAGGAGACCCTGGGACGAAGAGTTTTGAAGAAAAGGCCAGGGGTCAACTGATTTCTTTGGAGCAAGTATACTTATATCATGAGAGGCCATATTTGAGATGGTTGGTCCATACTCAGGGTCACTCAGATCCTTCTTCCAAATCTGTAGCTCCCACACTGAACCACCTTCATATTCCTTGATGTTCCTTAATGTTCAGAAGCCTCTGAGCCAGAAGCTGCCTTGGACGACATGGTCGAGCCAGGAAGGTCTGGCTTCAGATGACCCCCCCCATGGCACCACGGAGGAAGCGAAGAAGGGGGCGGCAAGCAAGGAAGTGACAAAGCTGAGGCCTCGAAATGTCATTTTTAAAAAAAATGTTAATACACTCCTTGCAATAATCATGGAGTGTGAAAACCACCGGTTTGTAGAGGGAAAAAGGTCCATCCTAAATCAGGGCCAGGCCATCCACTTCAATGAGAATTCCAGGGATTGTTAATGCAAACACTTCTTGGGACCCTGGGTTCCCTGCAGTCAATCAATGTGCATCGGTTAACAAACGAGCCTCTACGAATACGATCGGAGGCTTCTGACCCTCCCAGGGGGCCCAGCTCCCAATCTTGACCCCCATGGAAGAAGTTGCTAGTTGTTGTTATATACTTTTTTGTAGATTGAATGATGCTTTTGAAGGAATCTGACGATTCCAATGACGATTCCAGGGGCAGATTGGATGGACAGTGATACAGTGATACAGTTCGTTCAATCAGTGGTTTTTGATGCAAAACACCGCGGATGCAAAGCACCCATGAAGCGAAGTCTGGACCAAACGCGGATGATCGCCTTGGAAAGGCGACGAAGGGGTCGCCGTTTTCATGGATGCCACAAAGCCGCGGTGACACCCTCCCTGACCACCCCACATGAAGCGGACCACCAGCAAGGTCAACTTCTTGCATACTTCAACATGTGGCACTGACATGTCAATGTATTGACCCGCACCACACCTATGTCCAATCATTGACCACTTGATCTGTTTGGATATTTGGAGTACTCCATGTTTGTCAGAGCTTGAAGAAATTGCAAGGGTTTCCCAGATTCTGGTAGGCTCATTTTGCGCTACTAAACCCGGCTTAGGCGCCCTCCGCCCAAGCGGAGCCTTTTCCGATCAAGTCCCCACGTGCTGGGAGCCTTTTCTCGTATCCTCAGACCGAAGGTATTGCTTCGGAAAGATGCCCGTGTCGCCACTGCTTCTGCGAACGACCTGAGCGGGATTGCCAGAAGGGCTACCGCATCAAAAGCCACCATGGTTGTTAGCGATGTGGATCTTGAAAGGAGGATTTCTGTGATCTTTGCTATCTAGAGTATTAGGATGCCTTAGGGTTGTACCGGATCATGTCAGAATCAAGTTTGCGGTATTTCACGGCAGAAACCTTAGTATCCTTAGTACTGTTTGAGTCTCAGGTGATGAACTTTTATCAGATCCTTGAGTCAAAGGCCGACAAGCTCCCATGGTCGACTAACACCGAGGAGATTGATCAGCAACTGACTGGACCGGAGGAAGCACCCGGTTAAGCACCCGCTCTTACACCAGCCAGAAGTGAGAAGTGGTGCGAAACAGAATCATCGATAAACCGCAACCAAATGTGTCCATGCAATGATCATCTTTGAAAACAAATGAGCTTCACGGTGAGTTTCTGGCTTCCAAGGTGGATTCTGTTCTTGGAATCCAGCAAAGAAAATGTGCTTCTTCATTCGCAACATAGATCAATTATGATCAAATCAACAGCAAATCCCAATTCCAGCGTGCTGAATCTGAATGGTCCAGCTCTTCAAGGTTTTTGAAAGGATTCTGCATCCTAATTCGTTCTGAACCCACCCGGCCATCCCAAGAAAGTCTACGCAGGCCCGACTCTGAGAAGGCTGCATGGTTCATTCTTCGTCGTGGTTCGTCGCGCTCCAGATGTCTCGCAATCCCTCATAGGACTGGACGGAACATACCAGGGGCTCTGCTTGGGGCGTCTCACAGCCCTAAAAAATGGTGATGCGGGGTGTTCACCAGACCCCTCACCAATGGGTGGTGGTCAAGAACTCTCTTCTTCCAGGAGGCTGGAATCTCCAGATTTTAGCAGGGTGTCTCCTTATCGGGTTGCTGGTCTCCCTATTCCACGGGGTTCTACACTCTCTTCCAGGGGGGTCTCCTTATTCTACATACCCATTTGTGGCGAACACCCCTCCAAAACCCGAGGGGCGCCCCGCGTGTGAACACCTCACATCCTCCTCCAAGCCGCGCTGAAGCCTTGCTCCATGCCTCGACCCTCCTGAGGAGAACAGGCTTTCGTCATGGCAGGAGAACAGGTCACCAGGTGGTAGAAACCAGAAATATATGGTAATATGTGTTATATATACCTACTGCACCAACAACCGTCTTTTTTTAGGGTTGAAGATGAAAAACCATGCTTTCCATGTGAATGTGTAGAAAAACCGTGTTCCTTGGAAAAACCGGTTTTTCCCTATGTGGAGTGGATTTTGTTGCTTTGTGGCTTCTTTAGTATAGAACTGAAGCAAAAGATCATGGAATCAATGATAAGCACATCAATCTAAAAACAATAAATCAATGATAACACATCAATCGATTATAACACATCGCTCCCACATATGGGTGGAGTCCTGCGGATTGGGAACAATGACCTTTAGAAGGCACCTTACCACTATGGTTCCTATATAGATCCTGACCCCCGGAAGAAATATTATCTTGAAATCATCGGTTTTACACCGATCGATCTGGCCACGCGCTTATGTGTGGGTGTGGTCATGGAGAATGGCTTCATCAACCACTGCCCAGTCTGGATGCCCAGCTCATTTTTTCCGAGTGCGTGGTCGATGCTTCCAGCCATTTCCAACCTTGGCGGTGGGCTGGGCTCATTGTCAAGATGTAAAGGGCACTATGTTCGTTTCAGGTGATTTGTTTAGAATGTTGGGCCAGGGTCATTTTACAAAGAGTTTCACTTCTGCAGCCATTTTTGTTTTGTGTAGCTTTGTCATTGACCGCGCCACAGTGACAATGGAACTTCCTACTCATAGGGGTGGGCAGGGAGCACCCATGGATGTGGCGGGCTTGGCCAGTGAGTTAGACAAAATTGAGGAAGTCCGCAGTCTCCTTCGTGAGAAGCAGCAGCTTTTTGAACGGGCTGATGTGAAGCAAACTTGGTGCGAACCCTCACGTGCCAATTGTGTGGCAAACATGGATGCCCTCAAAGTGATTTTGAAAAGGCTTGCTGCAACACCAGGTTGGAAGTTGCCCTACCTTGACCCTTTGAAGGCTGAGATCGCAGAGCTCTTCAGGAAGGTGGGACACAGTCCAACTGAGAAGGCTATCTACACGACTTCGATCGAAGTGAAGAAACTCGCTGGGTTTGTGAAGCGCCGTGCCTCACCAGCACGGAAAGAGTTCACCAAGGATTGGGGATGCATGTTTGCATGTGTCTTTGCTCGGGGTCAGTCTGGTGGGTGCTCATCGTTTCGACTATTTGAATCCAAAAAAACATTGTTTCCCCATAGGCTCTCCACCATCTGAGTGACTACATCGTGTTCACCAAAACCATAGGTTTCAATTTGACCGTCCTGTCTCCCTGAGGATATTCGCTTCCACGAGTTGCTACTGACCTTGGACCCATCCTTGAAGGAGACCCTGGGCAGGGCTCAAATAATGATGCATATTGATGCATAACGTTGTCCTACCCCAAGTGTGTTTTGGAATTGTATATTATATAGTACGTGTTTCTCAAGAACCCATGGTTCCGAACATGCTTTGGTAGGACCTGATCACTGAGTTCATGGCAAGCAAAACTTTGCCTCGAACCTCATCTAGCAATGGACCAGAGGACTTCGATGAAGAAGATCCGGAAACCAAAATGGATTTTGCCCAGTTCAAGGAGTGGCTTGAGAAAAACGAGGAGGAGACGAATGGCAACACTGGGAAACCAGCGCTTTCCGGGGAGGCTTCGGGGGGTTCCGATGGTCCTCTTCCCACGTTGCCCTCTTCATCAACTCCTGTGGAAATGGTTCCAGCTTCCGTGGCAACTACCGGTTCGACATGTGAGAAGTGCAATAACAAGGTAGAAGAATGTAGCTTGATCACATACAACATTGTTGTATATTTGTTTGAAGCTGTTCCCCGGTGTTCCAACAAAGTCGATCTTGACAATGTGATTTAAAATTTTATATATCATGCATGCATGCAGTTAAGACATGTTATCCATTTCAATTTTGACGCTTGTACACAACCCATGTGTTTTATACATGTTAACGATCCGAAACTCCACCCCCTCCGATTCCAATCGCTGAACCCAGGTAAGTGTAAACAGCTGGCCAAAATCGAGAAGCTTCTTGCGATGATCGCGTCGAGAAAGGCTGAACACGCGAAGTGCTTTCCTCAGATTCTGTGCGCGCACAACTGGCAGCAGTGTATGTGAACACCGCTTCTCACTTGAAAGGGGACTTCCTTAAAGTCATTCCCATGTACAGTTTGACACAACTAGAGGGGCCTATGTTAAATTTCTGACTAGCATGCGGTCTCCTACCCGACCATGTTTCAGGCCAGATGCTCCCAAAGGGTTTCAGCCTACGCCAAAAGGCTGGAACAGCGCATGGTCTCTATAGTAAAATATGTGCTTTCCTATAGATGTGATTTCTTAGCCTGGTAAGAGGGATTCCTTCATTTGCACGCATGTCAGTACAAAGCCGCAATAGTGACAAAAAAACACGGGCCTGATTTAGCCACTATAGGTGTTGGGTGAAATTGATAAGGCAAAGCAGCGGTGAAGCAGTGTGTAAACATCGATCGATCTATATTGTTGTTTTCCAATTCTTCAATTCAACTCCATCTTCATTCCTTGACAGGTGCTGCAGCTGTGGCTGCAACGGACAACATGGAGACCCAACCCATGGGGTTGGATGGCATCGAACTCTTTGCCGAGGAAATGCTGAACGATTCTCAGCCTCAGGTGACGGGGTCTCCTTTGATTCCTTTGGCTAGTGGTGGCTCTCCGGGTGAGACTGGAGAGGAGAAGAAGGAAGGAGAACTGCAAGAGGCTCAACAACAGTTGATAGTACTGAAAAGACTTTCTCATTCAGTGTCCAATAGCCAATGAAATCTAATGGTCTTGAACTGGAAAGCTCTAACCAAAGAGTTTGTTTGTCATTTGTCCAATCAAATCTGGATTGAAAGGTGTAATCATTTGGGGAAGCCCTGCATGCCTGTGCAGGTGCCGGTGCTTACTCGGCGTATGCAATTGGAGAAGAAGGAGACCATCGCCCAGGAGGAGAAAGAGAAGGCAGAGAGGGCAAAGGAAGAAAAAAACGACAAACACGCAGCAGCAAAGGCCAAAGCCGCAGGCCGCAAGGCTGCGAAGGCCAAAGCAAAGGCCAAGGCTGAGCCTAATGGCGATGAACCCAAGGATGAAAAGGAGGAAGTAGAGCCTGCCCCAAAGGCCAAACGTGCCAGGACTAAGAAGTCAGCAATGGAAGAGATTGAAGCCAAGAAGAAGAAGACGGGCAACACGGAAGAGGAAGCTGCGGCCAGCCCGAGCCCGAAGCGAAAGCTTTTCCAGTCCGAAGATGAGGGTGAGGGAGAAGGTGAAAAAACTGTGCCTGCAGCAAAGGCTACGGCTAAGGCCAAGGCAGCTCCCAAGAGGAAGCGAGCCAAGAAGATTGAAGAGAAAGCTGATGATGAGGTGATCGAAGAAGAACCGGAACCCAAGGCTGAAGCCAAGGCTGCCCCGAAGAAGAGGGGTAGGGGCAAGGGCAAGAAAGCCGCAGAGGAGGCTCCAGATGCTACTGTGACACCTACGAAGAAGGGCTCGGGAAAAGGCAGGGGAAGAAAGAAGGCATCTCCGAAGGTCAAGATGTCCCCTGCTCGCAAGGAAGCGATCGATAGGAAGAAAGCCGAGGCAGCGGAAGCCAGGGCTGCCAGGCGGAGGAGGGCACAGGAGTTGGAGAACCTTGAGGCCACCGAGTTCGCCGACGAGCAAAAGCAGGGCATCATTCGCCATGCCCTCAAGAAGTCCAAGGGCTTGACTTTCGAGAATTTGAAGTTGTTTCTCTATGCGAACTTCCCAGTGAACACTGACAAAGCAGAGCTTTCTCCCTACTGGACTCGGACAGCAAGCGGGGTGAAAACAAGGTTGATCCCTGCGAAGCCTCAGGTGGCCTACTTCGCTTTCAGCACGGGAGACTGGAATGGGCGAATGGTCGCATCCTATGTTGCGTCAGCTTTGCTGGTTTCTTGATGGGTCTCTTTCAACAGTTTTTCTCTGTGTGTGTGTTCCTTTGTTTGTGCATGCATGTATGTATAGTTTGCACCCTCCTACACCCCTGAACTTAATTGGTTGACACTCATATACGATGCTTTCCTTGCTAAGTGGGGATTTCGCTGACAGGCAATTTCAAAGTCTGGACCATGGAACTGTCAGAAACCAAACATATGCATGGTTGATATGAAAAAACACGCCTGAACTATGTTGATCTTTAAGATGGGCTGGTGTTCTGTTGACTGGTGGCTGCCAGGCTGGATGGATTGCCGACAACGGCCAGGATGACCACATGGCCTTGGGGGTCCTTGCAACCTACAAGGACCCAGCTTCTGAGTTCAATCGGGTTTATGCAGGACTCAAGTACAATGCACAGGTAGTGCTCGGGGAGATATACCCCTCTCAATCCTAGTGTCGCTACGAGTGTGCAATAGCAATTCCAGTGGCTCGATGCTTTAGAGTCAGCAGTTGACCAGTGACCCTTTATGTGTTCTCAATTGCACGGTGGGAAACTAACGTATGATCCCTCATCCCTCATCCCCTGCAACATCCCCTAACATCCTGCATAATCTACAATTGGTGTTTTGTATTTTGTTTTATCGTGTGTACTCTATCCATTGCTGACGGGTGTCGAAGCCAAGAGAGGCATCATTCTGCCTCAGTATTCTTTGAAATGGTGGATTTCCCACGAGAAAGCCGATGAGCCTTTGTTGTGGGCACACCATGCAATCAAGGATTTCCTAGGGTGCTTCAAAGTGGGGTGAACGTGGGGTCAACCTCATGTCTCAGGCAGCTTTGAAAAAAGGAGCTTGGACTTGGTATGGTTCAAGCAACTTCAAAACTCTGGCGTCTGTGAGCGGTTCACACCAACATGGTTCTCACGAAAAGCACTCTACAAAGTGATATTTCAATTTAAAGCGCAACAAACATGTATGGGAACTATAATTTGTTTTTCGATATCATTCGATATGAAGATTTGAGAAGACAGTGTTTTTATCCAAGTATCCTTTCCATTATATGTATAGCCACAAAAGCTTTCCTCCAATGGATCCGCCAAGGTGAATGCCGAACCTCAAGAAGAACAAATGGGCCGTGAAGGCTGGCATCTTCAAAGACAGCCGCAAGCTCGACATGTTTGATTGCAATTGGAACTGAACGGGTCTCTGACATATACCAGTGGAATCACTGCGAGTGACACCACATGTGATTTTTAGAGAATCCTTTGATAGGAGGGTATCGATATAACCCAAAACATCACTTATGATCAGCTTATATTGATGAAGTGTTTGTTGATTGGGAACAAGTGACTCGGTCACCTGAGCGTCTCAATGAAACAATTGCAGGGTTCTTCTTTGTGCAGCTTGATAGCGTGGAGACTCGATGTTGGACCTGTGGAACTGCTCGATGCTCCTCAGATGGAGCAAGCCATGCAGCATTCAGCGCCGAGAAGAGACCACCGCCACATACTATACTCATTCTATTTGAGGACAAGTACATGAGAAGTGAAACAATGTTGTGTTATATGATCCCCTTGAGGATTGAGTATGCACATGCACATGAAAGTCAAACACTAAAAACGCAACAGGGCCTGTATAAAACATAACGTACTATCCAGTTGAAATTATATTCTGGGCCCTTGGGCTTCCTGTTGAGCAGCAACCTTTCAGTGCCGGCTGCTGGTTTGTGACCCATGGTTTCTTACTCGAAGTCTTGTGTCGACCAGCTCATGTGGCGACTCAAGACATTGGGTGCACCCAAAGCTTCTTTTCTGCATTGGGTGCAAAGAAGGTATCCGCCAGATCAAATATCAATTGTGCCGAATAGATTGTTTCACCATTTTGGATACGTGGGTGCGATTTCATTCACAGTAATTGAGTTACTCTAGAATAACCTCGCTTCCTATCCTTGCTCGCGCTCACCTGTTTTGAGGTTCTCCTTTTCACAGTTTTGCTCGTGCTTTGGACGGAAGATGGCATGGCACAAGGCGGAACACCACGTTTGCAGGACACCGTGGTTTGTTCAGCTTGTAGCCACTGAGCCCAACTGATTTTGACTCATTTCTTGTCATTCTCAACCTTTGCAGTTCAGTTTTTTGTGGTGTGCGCTAGGATGACACCTTCTTTGATTGGGTGGAATTCTTTGCTGGTGCTGGTCGAGCTACGAAGAGCTTCTCCTTTGGTGGGTATTCCACCGCACGTCTTGACATAATGTATATGAAGAGTCGCGGTGGGGCTCAGAACCCGATGGACCTGACATCTGACGCAGGACTTGCGAATCTGAACGCAATGCTAGTTTCATGCACTTTCTGTGTCTATGTTCAACCGCTTTTTCAACAAATGCGGGACTGGGCAACCAAGGGGAAACCAAGGACAGCCATCGCAACAATCCTACGTGGCAACGTTAAGGATGGGTGGGTGTGTCACTTTGGTCTGAAGTGTTCCTCATGGACCCAAATAAACTCCGGAACCAGCAACCGGAGTCCATGCTGTGCGATTGGGAACTTAGCATTCACCAGTGTATTGGAGGCCAATATGCTCGCGAGCCGGTTGCATGAACTGTTTAAAACAATGTTCTTGTTTTCTAGCGGGTGTTCAATGAGATTATCTGATACACATTCTGTGTAAAGCAGTCCTGTGGGAATTCATTCAATGTAAAGCAGTATTGGTGAATGGGTATGCTTTTCAATCCTCAAAGCGGGGTGTAGCTGGTTCCTTATTTTCTGACCTATATGCATTACCATATTAAAAACATTTGTCAAGTTCATGACCTCTCAGTTTAAGGATGCTATTATTGATGATGCTGGTGGTATGTCTCAATGGGACTATCCTGGTAGAGCAGCCTGCAAATTCCTTTCTCGAGTGGTATCCCCGGTTCAGAGACTTCATCCGGATGTTGCAAGATAGTGGAGGCCTTGGTGCAGTACCTTGCCTGGAGATGGGTCGATATATAGAGCACAGAAGCATTGTTTGTGACATCTTTGGTCGGGCCTGGAATTTACACTATGAGACCTGTGTAAAGTGTTCACCAAATGCTAGAACAACCTAAGCACATATACCCGACCTCCTATCCCCTTAGGTGCAGGCATGCATCCAAGAGTAGTGTGCCAGCGCCCTGGCCCAGGTCCACCGGACCACCTGGTGGATGTTCCACTATGGAGGACCCAGTCCGAAAAGGCACCTGGCATTTTCAAACTCTCCGGCAGTTGGTCGGCTGAATGCCGGGCAACTTCGAGGGTGGACCAAGGAAAAGAAGAAGCGGGAAGCAGCAGGAACTGCTTCCAAGCTTGTTGTGAAATACACGGATTCCAAGGGAAAACTTCGCTACAAAGGGGGCCCCGCTCTTCGCAAAAGTGAGTCTTTGACTTAGCTTGTTTCTTTTGATCGAGTTTCCATGTTAAGAACCCTGGCTCATGTCCATCTTTTTCTAGTTGCACTATCTAAGGGAATACCCGACTCAATTTGGAATCAAGCTCGTGGACATTTTTGCCGATATGCGGAAGGATAAATTGGGAATGCCGACCCTTCCAGAAGAGGGAGTTCCCTCTGCTGAGGAGACTTTTGAGTCTATGAGCTGGGAGGACCCCTGGACTGAGTCAGGGGTGACCAGTGTTTGCCATTGGCTTCGAGGAGGGACTCACCTTTCAGTCCCGGCCACTTTCCGGAGCCTGCTTCCGAAGAGGCTTTGAAGCTTTCCGTGAGGTCCCGGGAGATCCTGGGTAGCTGAAAAGGGTTTCTGTACTTCAGCGGTTATGATCCCAAAAGCTTCCAAGTTGTGCTTGAAAGGAAATAACATGAACTAACTTGAATCAAGATCGACTAACCCGTATTCTGAAAAAGCCAGGTTTTTGGAAACGATTGCTCGTACTTTACCCCATAATTTGGATGGAAAACCAGGTTATTACCCGTAATCAACCCGTAGTTTGCAACCCGTATTCTTCAACCCGTATTTTCCCCGTAATATACCCGTATTTTCCCCGTAATAACCCGTAAAATTTTATGGGTTAAAATCCAAATCCACTGTGGATTCCTATGTTGAGTTTTGGAAGGTCTTGGAGGGTCTAGCATGATTTATGTTGGGGTTTAGTCCATTTTTGGGGGACAGTAGCAAAAACAAACCTGGTCGAAACACCTTTGTTTGGCAATTGAAGCTGAACGCTTGGGAAAAAGCTTCAACTAATTCGAGAGTGATGCAAGTTCTGAAAGCAGTGCTTGGTGTTTTCACACGGAGCGCTTCAAATTCAAAGTACTTATTGTGTGATTTGATGCCAGTTGCGGACAAATATGAGCTTGGATACTGTATTAACCATCTCTTGGTGGAGTCAATGTTGAAGAAGTGGTCATGTTTCGTTGAAGATGCCCATGTATCTTAAAGCATTTGGCCCTGAACGAAACGATAGCATCTAGCAACAGGTTTTTTTTTGCCGTACGATGGCTTTCATGAAAGCGGACACTTTGAAAACTATGATGTCCCAAGCATGGGATACGGATGCCCTCACCGAAGGGTTGGAAAAAATCCTTGCTGGCGAAGCGCAGCTTCCAGAGGATATGTCTGACCTGGAGGTGCATCGCCTAAGCTGCCCAGTGCATTCATCTTGTGTTAGGAAAGTTTGGGAACTGTCTTGGGGCCCAGTCTTCAACATGTTAACCTTGAGGATGCATTCTGGTAGTACATGGTTGTACCTTTTGTTTGGTATATGTGTTGAGGAGCTGGAGAGTCAGCTGAAGCGAATTACGATCGTTGATGCTTCAGCGTCTGCTGAAGTCCAAAGCTTAAAGGATTTTTTTTAGTGCGCATTCAACTGGTGTGATTTTTCTTCAGAATCACTTTACATGTAATGGACACGTAGCTTAGTTTGATGTCCATAGGATAAATCCAAAGAACTGATCCGCAGCCAAGCAACTTGGTGTGTAAATGTTGTTGACACTCAAGCTTCTCCATGTTTCATACATCAACAAGGGTCTTCAAAACACTTCCTATTTCACCTTGATCCTAGGCTACTCCATTGTCCAATGGCTCCAAGGAGGTGTCAGTGCTGCAAGAGGCAGACACATTGCCTGCTTCTGGTGATGAACTTGCCAAATTCATCGAGAGTCTGGGCAGCTCCGCTAGTCCATCTGTTGCTCCAACCCCCACAGAGTTGGAGACTTCTGTCGCAACTACCCCAAGATCTTCCAGCTCCCATGGAAGTTCTGTGGATCCTACAGCCGTGCCCTGCTATAGTTGAATGTTTCAGGTGAGTAATGTCAAAAGAACAATATGCACCCTGCACTATTGGATTGGTGTGTAAGAACATTAATTAACAAGTATATCCTTTCGCGATATCGCCTCAGGTTCTCATCGAACTGTTCAAGGCTGGAAAGGTTGATGCTGCAGCGGCTATGAAAGCTTTGGTGGAGGGAAGTCTTCAATCCCTGCCCTCGGGGACCAAGAGACCCCGTGACCCACAAAGTGCGGACCGTGATCTATCTATCAGCCCTCAAAAACCCACCTCTGAAGAACATTCTTCAGAGAAAACCAAACCTGGAGCTACTATGGAAGCTTTGCTGAATGTTCTCTCATTGTCTTCATTTCCGGTTCTACATACTATGTACTCTTTACTGTTCTGAATACTATAACTTTCCTTTCTTTGTTCCCTCCCCAGGACGAGAAGACAAGGGCTAAGCTTAAGGCAAAACTGCGACGGACCTGTGAGCTGAAGAAGGGTGGCAAACTCAATGTCCCCCTTTGGCTCCACCAACAGTGGAAAAAGGGAGACCACATGCAGATGGCTTTGGATTTTGCCGCCTGCAACTTCGACAAGGTTCGCTGTTAGCGCAGTCAAGTCACAGACTCAAACCTGGAGGTACAATTGGTCCAAAATGCATAGTTTATTGTCCTGTCAGGACGAGTTCATCAAAACCGTGGAGCGATCAGTGGAGACCAAGGAAACCGAGAAGAACAAAGTAACCGTTGGATGGTACTCTCGTGATGATATGTCAAAAGTTCTTCATTGGACCTCGAAGCTTGGATTTTGCCATGGCTTGATTAAGCAAAATAAATATATACAGTAGGGCTAAGTGTGTCAAAACCACCTATTGAGCAGAATGTTGTTTGTGATCGATGAAATCCCTTCGCTGTGTGTCGCGCTTTCGATCTGAGGAAGAAGATTGACGGGGCCATTGCTGTTTGTCAGCAGGATGCCTCAAATCTTATCAGGACGGATTCAACATCTATCTGCAAACAGTGGTAGTTTCACTGAAAGAAACCCTTTGTGATTTTTGTCAGGCATAGTTTATATGTTTGTGTCAAAATTGTAATATTTAAAGAGCAAACAAAATGCAGGACCTGCCGCTATGGAGGGGAGGATGAATACTTTCTGGAGATCCGAGAGTCAGGAGAGCGAGGCCAAGAACGTACCAAATCTGAGATACACAAGGAGCTTGGAAAGGACCGAGCCCAATGTTTGCTGACTGTTTTTGTAAGGGTTCCAAGACTTGCTCTTGTGCCTCTTTTGAGCTAACTATACCCAAGATCACGTGTAAGCCTTTAGGACAATGGTGCGAAGTTGGACGGTGTGAACAGCAAGGTCCTTGAAGACTTTGACAAGAGGAACAAGGCAATGCAATCTGCTGCCACTGCTGGTACTTCAGAGGCAGGAGATTGCTAGTCAAACAAACTTATACACATGCTTCCAACGAATAAGAACTTCACAGACGCAAATCAACTCAAGTTGAATAAAGAAGAAAACCCACTGTACCATATAGTGTGGACACTTTATACACCCTGCAGGCTTTGAGGTCGAAGAATGTCTTCCGCAAGTTCTGTGATAGTGTACTCCAGAAGGCGGCCAAGATCCGATCATTGGTTGCAGATCTTCACACCCACTACGATACAGACTCTACTGCACAAAAGTCGCGGACTTACATCAGCTGTTTGTGCATAGCATCTGCCCCCCACCTACCTACCCACTTACCCAAAGAACACTGTCCTTCGTGTATCCAGCAAGAATCGATTGTACTTCTTGTCCAGCACGTACTTCATGCCCAGCACGTACTTCATGCCCACCACGTACTTGTTGCTCAGGTCTGCCAAAGCCCTGGAGCAGGACTTGAATGAAATGGACAAGGTCTACTCCACCCTCTCGAATTTGATGGCTGAGGGCGAGAGGGCGGATTTCGACACGGAGTGGCTAGACTGCTAACACATGAACTGTTGAGTGTGTTTGTGCATATTCAACAGGCAATGCTATACAATGAATTTATGTTTACACTGAATGCTTCATGGACTTGTCTGGTAGACAGCTCCAGGTGGGGCAAAAAGTCCGAGCAGCAAATGAGGGAAGCATCTTTTACGTGCCTTTGCTGTTGGGACTTTTGCAGTGCTGTGATGTGAGCGATGGCATCCATGCGCATGTGTATCAACTAGACCTACCATGCACTCATACCAAAATCTGGTTTGCTAAAAAGCTGCCAAGCTTAGGTGCACCAAAATTGCCCAGAATGAAGCCCGGATCAGGTCAGACACCCAAACAGACATTTGATCCTTGAAAGTGCCAAGTTTACAAAACGGTTGGTCAGCCTATCAAGACCGCAGAACAAACCCGCCCATGTTTCATGGGCCTTAAATATCTTAAGCTTGAAAGTGCAATGAACTCAATTGTATACGGGAGATTGAGGTTGATAACTTTAGACTTAGATGATCGTTTTCTTCCACATAGTGGCTTCCAACTTCAGCTCCTCTCCGCCTGCCCCAGGAGTGCCAAGCGGCACTTCAAGCGCACTGTGAAGGAAGAGAAGTAGGATTCTCCTGAGCGGCGCGTCGGGGTTTGCATCCAGTGTGTTTTGGACACAATGGAAATTCGAGCATACTGATGAAGGATCAGTGAAGCTCTGGCACGGATCCGTCAAGTGTTGGTTGCTATACTCATCCTTTGTATATTAACACTTGTTGCATCATATTTCATTTTTGGGGACTGCAGGGCCCCTCTGCATGTCAAGAACCCAATAATAAGGCAAGTGTGACCTATGGAGTACAAGAGTTGATGGCTTGTGCCAAGGGGTTTTATCAGGTGGAATATTTCGAGCTAGCACCTGACCGCAGCTCTGATCAGAGAAGGTGGGAAAGAAAAACAACTCTTTTTGGGCAGTGACTTTGTTTTACAGAAGGTCCAGGACTTGGGCTCTCCCACACTGTTGCTTGCACTAATCTCCGCTTTCTATGCCAGGTGCAGGGCCTACCGCCAAAGCCTTTGCGAAGAATGTCGGATCCGGGGCCGGGGGCTTGGCGTGATGGTGGAACCAACACAGTGGCAAACCCTTGTGACCTTCCTGGTGTCAATGCGATGTTTTGACCCTCAAACCATGCAAATATGTCCAATAGCACGCAAACACTGACTCGATCTTGACATTGTGTCAAAACCGGAAGCACACACAAACAAATTACCTTGAAGTGACAAACATAACATGTGACATATATGATGAACATATTTAGTTCGACCTGTGTTCCATTCAAGAGTTATGTTTGAACAAAAAACATATACGGACTTTAATGTTGCAATGTTCTATATGAGGGCTAGTTGCGTGCCAACCTTTGCCTCTTTGACCTGTGAAATCATGGACTCACCCATGGAGTGCTCGGAAGATCCATACGATGAGCTTCTAGATCTTCTTACCTGCCACCGTTCTGAACCTTGGGAATGATTTACTACATTTTGTTATTAAAGAGTCGGTTGGTCATGTTATAATCAAAACGTGTGTTTTAACTTCAACCAATGACCTTCTGTCCCACTGAAGGATTCTGTGGTACCCTACGCTTGGGAAGCTTCCCCATCATCAAAAGGCGGAGGAACAACTATGAAGATGGATTTGACCTTAGACAAATGGACAGACAACCTCAAGGAAAACAAACCTTTCATGCATCCGCTGGAAAGACTCTTGCCTGAGTATGACTACAGCCGGTATGAAGATATTCGCAACCTACCTCGTACGCCTGATGTGTTCATGTCGATGCAAAAACATGAACGGTTGAGTTGTAGGCTCCCCAAACCCATGGCTACAGCAGGGAAAGTGCTGGAACATGCGGTGGCAACATTTGATTCGCTTTATCAAAAGCATTCTCCCATCACCTTCAAGTTCGGGATCACCCACAACCCTAGCTTCCGGTGGTCCAACTCAAAGTTCGGCTATGAGAAGTCAGTTGAGCGTTTTCAAGATATGGTGATCATTTATGCTGCTGGGAATCCACATGGCCCAGCATTTTTGGAAGCAGCGCTCATCAGCCGCTTTGCCAGTGCCATGTCAGCAACCAACGAATGGCTGTGAACAAAGCTGTCTAATCTATAGGGGCTAGAAACTTAAGGACTCAAGGGTATGCAACTTGCCCATGGAGTGCATGCGCTAAATCTACAACATTGTGGCAACTCAGGCACGCAGGGCTGCAAGAACATCAGGTCTGGTGGTGACACTGCTGGTGCAGACTTTGATGGAAAGGGGCCTTTCTTTACCTATGTGGTCTTTCGGTCTTTCAAACATCCTCCACCGTGCAATCGATCGATCTAATTTGAACTTAGGTGAACTTAGTGTATAGCTGCTCAGTGTCCTGCACGTTTCAATTAGAACCGTTGGCTTTTTGGCCAACCCAAGGAGCCTTGGGAAAATTCAATCTTGATAAGTTTCAAAAGGTAGGTGGAGAAAAAAAAGCATTTGCTGCTTTTGAGTTAGCGTCCCTCTACTTGAGCTGGCTGTGGATGCACAAGTATGAAGCCGCATATACATAATGTGTGTGCACATGCATGTGAGCATTCTGCCACCCAAGCTGCTCATTACAATTCATATAACATGTCCTTTTGGGGTTGTCGCGCCAAGGCCAGCTGCACCAGCCAAATCGCTACTGCCAAAGCTGTGGCAGCCGAGTTTGGAGAGACAGCGGCAAGTGAGTGTGGGGTGCTAGATTGGGCAAGGGTTCCCTTGTCCCATTCAGAAGAGAAGGTCCATAAAGTTTGCAAAGAGCAAAGAACAACTCTTGATCTTCCAATCACTGAGTTTCGTGCTGGGCCCCATATGATCCCATGGCTCTCGCCACAAGACTGGTTGCAATTTATCGTAGATCATGGTTGTTGGCATGCCCTTGCGGGCCTGAAAGATGATCAAAGGCACTTAGCTGAGCCGAGATGGGAACACTTCTGGGCTGAGTATAGAAAGCTCCGGCCCAACTTTGCGCCTTTCCTTGAAGAAAGAGAGAACATGGATTGGTCCCGAACGGTAGGATTGCTACTCCATGGAGACGAAGGGAGAACCTTGAAACGCGGTGGTCTTCTGGTGACGTCAATACAGTCGATCTTGGGCTGCGGCTTTGATGAGAAACGCACCAAGCGATCTACAGACCCGACGAAACTGCACGTGAATTACTCTGGACATGTGTATACGACTCGTTTTGTCACATCAGTCATCCCAAAGACTTTGTATGAGTCTGGAAATGGGGATATCTTCTACGAGGCCATGACTGTCCTTGCCAGAGCTTTGAATGGGCTTCTGGAATTTGGTGTGACCTGCAAAACTACTGGAGTCTGCTACCGTGCTGTGGTGTTGGGCTGCAATGGTGACCTTCCCTATTTGCAAAAGGCCGGAAGGCTCACAAGAGCCTTTAACACTGGGGTGAAGAGAGGTCGAGAGAATGCCAGGCCTCGTGACATATGCCACCTCTGCCTTGCTGGCACGGGTGAGCATCACTATGAGGAGCTGTCAGGAGTGAGGCCCTCCTGGCTTGTGACCATGGGTGTCAAGCTGCCATGGGTGGAACCTCCGCCTTTCATAGCCGAGCTTCCGCACGACCTTGCGGATCCCGCATCCTTTTTCATGTACGATGTTTGGCACACAGTCCATTTGGGATTTGGACGTTCAACAGTGGCTTCTTGTTTGCAGTTGATGCTTGACTACCTGCCGTGCTCGAACTTGGATGAGCGTTGGAGCTTTCTCACAGACCACTATCGGCGGTGGTGTCGGAGTGAGCACCGACAACCGCACATAACGAAAATCACAGGATACTTGATGAGCTATGGTGACAAGACTGGTGCCATGGGCAACTGGCACAAGGGTGCGCTAACAACAAATTTCTTGAAGTGGTTGCCATCCTTGATTCGTGAATTTGCCCACCAAAGTGAAGAGATGAACAAGTGCCTGTTGGCTGTGTGCTCCATGAATGCGTTCTTCAGCTTCCTGTATGAGAGCCCACTCTTTTTGGACAGAACAGAGAGCCTGTTTGCAGCAAAGAAGGTGTTGGACTTTTTGCGCATGTACCAAGAGTTGGCTGTGCGACAGTGGCAGAAATCCCTTCCGCATCTGTTTCCGCTTTACCCAAAACTGCATGTCTTCCACCACATTGGCTTGCAGCTCCTTCATGATTCTTCAGCATGCGGATTTGCATGCAACCCCATTTCGGTTGCAACACAGGTTGATGAAGACCTGATTGGCAGAACGGCTCGAGTAAGCCGAAGGGTTTCCATCAGGACAGTGATGGATCGCACACTTCAGAGGTACTTGATATCATGCAAGGCAAGTTGGATCAAAGCTGGCTTGCTCAGATGAAAAAAACATTGAGCCTTCAGGGATGTGCGTGTGGAGGGGGGAGGGGGGCAGTTGCACTCAACCAAGCAACTATGTGATTTTGGTGACATAAAAAAACCATGTTTTTTTGAAGGATCCGGGTTATTCTGAGAAGAACCTGTGGAAGTGGCTTAACCCAAGAAAAAGGAGGCTAACGGAGGAGTAGGTATATATATACACATTGTTTTTGTTGGTACCAACAGGTCTTAAACAGGTCTCAGTGTCTTTTTCTTCTCCTCTTTCAATCAATCAACCAGTTAAAAGGCCATCTATGATTGGCCCACCATTCTCTTTACAGCCAATATGGCAGTGGGTCAGGGCACCAGACCGAAAAAGGGCAGGACCTACCTGGTGTCGGTCGAAAACCACTGGTCGCGCTCCAGGAGCATCCGACCATCCGACCACGTATCCAGACCTAAGTGTCACCCCCTAGGACCTAGGGATCTCCAAATGAAAAGGAGATCCAAATAGGTTGGCCCAAGTGGTAGTGCCAAAGTCTTCCAGTTTCAGATCGCATCTGGTTGGGGCCGTTGTATGTGATTCTGCATACCAGTGGCTCACCTCCAGGATTGAGGGAAAGCTGTGGTTGTGATGGAAGTATATCTAATTATATAATATATATATATAACATATATTTTTATATATAATTTGTCCTGCATCCTATTGTCCGTTCTATGGTTGATAGGCACAGATTCCTACAGCAACAGTGGACTAACATAGATAATAAAACATATTAAAACTAACCATTTTTGTGTGGTGCAGGAGCATAAACGTACGGCAGCGGATGAAGGGTTGAAACGAGGATCAATTGGCCAGCTGGCCAGTGGCCTGAACTCGTATGTGGAGATCTTCCCTTAATGAACCTGATATGTCCACCATGTTCACAAAACAACTGTTGGAAGATCAACCACCACTATACTACTCGGGTAGTATAAACACAACAAGGACACTTTCTGAACCCTTCATAGAACTTCCGTAGATGGACGAAATCAAAATACCCTGCTTTCTCAAACTGCAGCACGCCATGCTTCCGCCAGCACGTCTAAGAAGTTCGAGTCACCAAAGAAGACCAGTAAAATCCAGTAAAAGAAGCCACGACGGTCACGTGGAGTTGCGTCTTTGTGGAAAGCAAATAGGTCGCTGAAATAAGAACACCTCCAACATGATGTGCCATCGTTCTTGGGAATCACAGGAGGGTTTGTTCAAGCCACGTTCCAACAGCCCCTGGCGGTTCTGAAGGCGCTCGGTCCATCGTTCTTCATCAACTAACCAGGTGGCAAAAGACCTGGACCCCTGGACCGGGTTGGTGAATGAGCTACGTCGCGTCAGTCACGTCACTAAGGGGCGTGGCGCCCTGAATGGACACCCGGAATCGGTGGTGCTGGCATGGGTCCATCTACTGCACTGCGTACGTAGACTCCTCAAAAAGCCCAGCTTGGCACCAGGGACCCCGGGTTGGTAACATCCCTCCCAGTTGACAGCTGGTGACGTTCCTCTACCATCCGTTCAGGACTTGTATCAACCACATACTGCCTCCAAAGTTTGAGGAAGACTGGATGCGCAAACTGACAAGCTCCAGGATTCATTAAGCCAGAATCTCACTTTGTTTGCCCAAAGACGTGTCAGCCATGCGGACCATCACTGAATCCCTCTCCCGGAGTTGCTGCCTTTTCATCGTCAATGCCATGCCACTGCCAGAGAGTGGCCAACTTTGGGCACAGGGAATGGGACGCCAAATGAAGCAGCCTGCTTGTGACCAGCAGGCCCTTTTTAACACAAGACTCATGATGACCAAGCCCCGACTTGGTGCCCCGTGCCCTCCAAACCGATGACCTGCAATGGATCCATAGGAAATATGATAATACCCAGACGCTCCATGTATGCCATATATACCTACATTGGGGTGGTTTGGGGGGTCAATGTAAGCATATATTCCATACATGGAGTGTATGGGAAATGATGTTTGATTCCCCTGAAAGGAAAACCCGATGGACACATGGATTCGGATGCGTCCATCGTGAGGGGAGAACCACGGAGAACGACACGAGCTGGTGGGTCCCTGACAACTGCTGGGTAGTTTACACATTGGATTTCGGAGATGTTGCTGTTGCCTTGAACATCCCGCTGAAACTGAACATCCAAAGAGGCAAGTACGTGGCGCAACATCTTCCTCCACACAAATAGGACAGTCTCAGTGGTCATATCTGTCACAAAGAGGGGCCACAGTCACAAATAGGACAGTCACATCACATCGTCATACAGTATCTGTCACGAATAGGCCACAGTCACAAATAGGACACATCATCATGTCTCTAACTTCAGCAGATCTCAGCCCAGGCCTCAGGAGATCTCGTTGTCGGAGTCACACAACTCCAAGGACTCCTGCCGTCGAGGGGATCGCCTGGGGCCGGCGATGTACGCCTGGTTCGGAGAACGGAAGGCGAGGTGGGCCAGCAGGTTTGCCACGGACAGGTTTGCACCCCATCTCCCGAGTATATAGTTGCTTGATCCTGGAGCCTCATTCGTAGCACTTAAAAGCGCTCATTTCCAAAAGCGCTACCAACTCCCAAAAACCGCTACAAACTCCCAAAAAGCGCTCATGCTTCAAAAAGCGTTCAGGCCAGACCGCACAGACATACAACAAACACTTCATCAAAGCAGTGCTCTTTGCTGGCGCAGCATCATCTTGGCCTTTGGCCCGGTCCCCTAGCTTTGCTAGGTTTCAACTTTCAACCATGTTTCTTCCCATTGGCGTTTATACGCCATGAGGCTTACCTGAACAGTTCTCAGGGATGTTGTCCTGTTATGCTGACGCCTACTGGCACGGGCAATTTTCCCTACAAAATCTTCATCTCCCCAGCACATCCATACGGCTGGGTTCATCCCAAAACCTGCACGGACTCGGTCGTGATGTAGCTGGAGCCTGGGTAGGAGCTGGATATGAACAGATTATGAACCTAATCATTTGGGCTTGCAGTGAAGGCTTGCACATTTGCAAGCCAAGTGACACAAAGTGTGCTTGGATGTGAATTTTGGGTCTCACCCTGAAGAATAACCACTTGCGCTGAGCAGCCAGTGCACTTAAGCATATGTAGCCCTCCTTAGGTTACATAAACATATCAAAGATGCAACCCTTATTTCTCTTACATCCTATACATACATGTGCATCCAAAAGTCAACCATGGCCCATCCTGCCTTTATGGTTCGATCTAGCTCATCACCTTTCAAGAAAAGGGCACCGTTGTTGAGGGTTCGCCAAAAAACACCAGACGCTTTGTTGGTATACTGCATAACCTCCACCAATTTGATGTCTGTAGGATCCTTGGTTGTCATGGACCCATAGAATCAGCGGAATTGTCGAACCAGCTCAACGCTAAGGCACCAAAGAAGCCATATCCACCAAAGAGAGCTCGTGTTCAAGCCAGGAGCCCACAGCACCGGTGTCGTGCCCCCGTCCCCTCAAGCATGCAAAGCTGCCTTTCCTTAGATGGCCGGTCTTTTGGGGTGTCCATATTCTGATAAGATAAGCCTATAATTTTGGGCCAGTGGATAAAGAAACAACCCACACGAGATGCATATTGCAACCTGGGTTCTTAATCTTGAAGTCTTGTTTGGTGAAGCATGTAATGCTGGTGTTCTTCTTCATGCGTTTGCAGAAGGTTGCAAACTTTTGAAACGCATTGTCCAGCCTACTCTGGAATTGACCTCCTCTTCCGAAGTGACCAACCTTTTCCAAGGTCAAGACAATTCCTGCCACTTCATCCTTCCCATAGCCTATGGCATATGTATGGGTTGGGTCTGCCCGTATACGGTGAGGGGACTGTGCACCTGGTAGGTCAAAGATCGGCGGGTTCGCTCTGGCCTTGTAAGGGGGAAGGATTGTCATAGTCCAGCTGCAGGCTTCTAAGCAAACCATCTGGTGAGAAATCCCACCATGCCTCAGCTTGATGGATGTTTTTGGCTGTTCACCAAAGAAACTGTTCTACTCGAGAGCGGTCTCCCTAAAAGAACTTAAAAAGTTTGATCCTTTTCCAAAGGTACTGTCCCAGCACATAAATGACAAATGCGAAGGGAGGTGAAACCCGTTTGCAGCTTGTGGATCTTCCTAAGATGGGGCCAGTCGCCCTTGGATCCGACAAAAATTGGCCTGAATCGATGAACTTTGCCACCAGCACGTACCTGGTGAGGAGGAGTGTTTGCAGATTGGAGGAGGTATTTGCACTATTAATATAAGAAACATGCAGTATAAAAGGTGCCAACTTAACTTGCAATAGAGGGTCTTCCACCCCTTCATCAGCCAATTTGTTAAAGTCTTGAACAAGGGCAGCCACCAATGCATCTATGGTCTTGTCGGCTTTAGCATACAGGTGTGAAGGCAGAGCAACATACAATAGGCGGTTGCCATAGGTGACCCTGCAAGGCTGGGGCAGCTGTTTGGAAACTATTCCCCTTCAAAAACGATCAAACACCTCCCCTATTCTTGAAACAACTTTTGGCAATTCCCACCCTTTCAAATTGGGTAAGTCTTTGAAGTTGGTCAGTACAGGCTGATAACTGCAAATCATGATGGGACGCTTGTAGCGGCCACGACCCTCATCACCATGCAGTGCTATGGGAATCCAGAACTTGAACTGCTCCTCCACATCCTGACCATCCCTGCAAAAGCATGGATGATCAGGATCCAACATCCGGTAGTTTCGCCACCACTTGTCCAAGATTTCCATGAAACCTTCAATATGATCCAGACTTTTCCCCCCAAAGAAGAAATGGCCACCAAGATTGATTGAAGCTTTGAACCAAGACGACAGTGGAAGGGTTGCAATATCCATCATTGTCTCACCAACTCGAGATTTGGTAATTGTTCTCACAGGGACTTTCTCGAACTTGATGTCCACTGGTAGGTAGCCTCCAATCTTCCCCATAACTTTGTGCATATCCCGGCAGCCATTGCGGACAGCATGATCACGAGATCCCCGAGACCC